GTTGAGCAATCCTCACCTGACCATACAATGAGTACAAAGCAGGGACGTTTAATAGTACTGCTCCTGAGCACCAGTGCAAGAAGGGGAGGTTAACAACAATGGACACCAATGCTGGGGGTTATTATTGCAGTCATTGACATTAAAGTGTCACTAAACCCACAACAGTAAAATCAGTCTGTATATGCAGTAAAGCATGCTTGTTATACTCACTGTGGAATCTAAGAGGGTAATCATCCGCAATGGGTAAAAACGGCTGTTTGATCCTGTCTTCTCGGATCCTCCCTTGTTCCTTTTGCGCTGGCTTTTTGGCACCAATCTGCCCCTCTGAATTATTATTATACAGTATTTATAAAGCGCCAATGGTTCGCTCAGCGCTGTACATTACAATGGGGGACAGAACAATAACAATACAATACATGAGGGGATTGAGGGCCCTGCTCTTTGGAGCTTACAATCTAGGAGGGAGGGGATAGTGGTACAGGAGGAGATAGCTGTGGGGGATGGAGTGGTAGGAAGAGTGGAGGAGGTTGGCAGTTAGCAGGGGGTGAGGTAGGCTTCCCTGAAGAGATGGGTTTTCAGGGTGCGCCTAAAGCAGAGGAGAGTAGGTGATAATCTGATGGGTTGGGGCAGGGAGTTCCAGAGGATAGGCGACACCCTGGAGAAGTCCTGGAGGCAGGCATGGGAGGAGACCAGGGAACTAGAGAGAAGGAGGTCTTGTGAGGAGCAGAGTGTGCGTGCTGGGCGGGATTTTAATGTAACACCTTATATGTCTCAGAGACAGGATGAAAAACCACCAACACAAGGTTTGGGAACCAATGGAGGCCTATAACAACAATTTGAACTTGGACCATTTCCTTGCTCTCAACGTGATACTAATCACCACAGACCTATGACTGTATCCTGCAGGGACACGCCCCTCCCCCCTTCATCCTCTCTTCTTTTCTCCTTCCTACCAATTATTTTTTGGTTTTGGGCCTCCATAGCCTCTTTTATGCTGGATTGTACGTAGAACTTGAACCATCCTCTTCCACCCCGGGGTTTTGGGTACCTCCGATCATGCATTAAGTTCTCAGATCCTGCGTAGTTGAGCACTTTTTTTGGGCATTCACGTCCTAGTTGTGGCGGTTTCATTGCAGTAGTTGTTACACCGCCTGTTTGCCTTGGTGATAGTTGGCCTATTGGCCCATTTCCCTTTTTCTCCTACCGTCTTACTTTTGACACCACTGTGATTTGCTGTCTGTAATTTTACTTTTTTGAAAATTTCAATAAAAATGAAAAAAGCACCAACACAAAAAAAGACACGGCAACAGCAGTTAAGAGCAACCATACTTTATTACATAACAAGCTTCATAAAACAAAAAATAAAAACAGGAAGCATTCAAGCATTTGAACAATACAATAAGATGCTGTAAAAAGAAACGCTCCATTCAAGTGTTTGGAGGGCAGCTAAACATTGAGATACTTTATACCTTCACCTGGGAAGTGTCACAAAGCTAGCTTTGGTTTTTTTTTTTTTTTGTTAATTTTTTTTTTATTTTGTTACTTATTTTTTTTAATTAAGCCCCACAAAAAGCATGAGAGAGACCTTATACACACAACTTATTATAGGTCTCCTGCTCACACAGTTAGTCTTTTTATCGCTGGGGGAAGGCCCTGCGATGCACAGTATACTAATACCAAGCAGAAGCTCCTCCCTCATTCAGTAATAGGTCAGGGGCCAGCGTTCACTACAGTACTGTATTGTAATAAGTTACAGATAAAGTGTTTTTCTTTATTGAAATACAGAAGGCTGACTTTGAAATGACTACCTTACAAGGATCACAGCGCACCCAATTGGCAGATCGTTAGACCAATTTGCCTAGCTACAACAATACAAAAACACCATTTGTGCTAGTAAGAGCACCAGGGAAAAAGCAGGACATCATGTGCTAAATTTAAAAAAAATAAAAAAATAAAAAAAAAGAAAATTAAAAAAAAGGAAAAAAAAAAAAAAAAAAAAAGAAGAAAATGCTATTTTAGTCACTGCTGGGTTGATCTTTAACTGAGGTATAAAAGGCCGTAAGAGTACTCAAGTGTTAATATCAAATGTAAAATCCAAGCGGCTGTGTCCTGTATATATTTTTCAAGTTACAAGTTTTAGTGCAGGATAGTACAGTTAGAAAAATGTTCTGGCAGACTCCTCTATGCTGCGAGTTGCACATAGCACAAGGCGGCCATTTTGTCCCCTTGACTATTCTCCCTCATTGGTTCTCTGGAGCTGGCCTTATAACCTGCTTGGATGTAATGGCATTGCCGGGGCAGGTAGGTGATACGACTAGCTTTGCGGGCAATTTGTCCACTCGGCTAATCGAATGAATGACTGAATTCTCTAGAGCCCCTCTATGGACCAAGTAGACATTTAGCCTTTGAGCTCGCTGGAACCTAGACATTGCTGAGGCAGAGATATACATGAACAAAAAGGCTTGCCGTGCTGTGTGCAACTGACAGGTTCTCTTTAATATTTTCCCAGATAAGCTAAGGCTATATTGTTTCTATACCAGGAACCAACGCTGAAGTGTTTTTTTTTTTTCTTTGTCTCATACAATATTACACTTCTCTTCTGATTATTCAACACATTTCACACCACTAAATACAGTCCAATCATATCTAAAAGGTTTATATTTTTTCAGACTGCATTAAAAAGAAAACAAGATTAAAAAACAGCTCTCAAATAAGTCAACAAGGAGAAAAAAAAATTTAAACAATCCAACTATTTAAAGGCTAAGCAGCGAAAAAAAAAACCCACATGATTCATTAATCTCAAACTTCATCAATCAAAAAACAAAAAAAAAAAAAATTGTAAAATGTACAATCATTTCTATTTGTAAACAGTTAAAAGCCACAAGTTGATTTGCGTCGTTCGACACCAAATCAGAATCAAGGCAATGAGTCAATGGCAATGTGTGTAACTAGAAACGCGGGCTCCTCCAATCTACATTGGGGCTCCACCAGTTTTTGGGAAGAAGCTTGGGACTGCTAGAAACATTAATGCACCTTTTGTTAGAATCATTTGCTATAATATATACAAAGAAAAAAAAAAAATAATACATATATATATATACTGGCTTGGCTGCCCCAAATATAAATTGTAAGAACCCACGGTTAATTGTGCTCCGGTTGTCCCCACAGACAGTGGCTGCATTTAAAGTGTCCCTTTTCGTCAACTAAACTGACACCCGGCCTCGTCCCCTCTTTAGGATCCAGAGAATACCGCGGGTGGCCAGTGATATCGCCAGTTTCTGGCACACAAGTAGGCCTGGTATTCCTGAACAGTGTCCTAGGCCGCGACGACTCAGACTACACAAAAAGCAAGTGGTATAAAACTGAAAAGAATCTTCCTGCTTTTCTCAGGATTCTGGACAAATGTAAAACTGTAAGGCAGGGCGGTGAGATGAGGTTTGTAAACACGATTATCCATATTGTTCTGCTATGCACGTAACAGGCAGGTAAAGCATTCAGTGCGCTCCATCACAAGTCATTTTGGTAAACAGTAGCGAGACAGTGTATGGTCGAATTTATTTGACGTGTATGTCCAGCCAAAGCTTTCTTCCATTCGTTTTTGAATGGGAAAGAATTAGAACCCTTGTGGACTAGAACTGCTATCTACGGGTAGGTTAGAGATTTTCCTTACTTTCTCTGAGACATTTTACCAGGCAAGGAGTGTGGGAAAATCAGCACAAGGGACACAGACAGCAATACGTGACTGCTGCAGGCTTTTTATGAAAAGAGAAGTATAGCCAAAGCTTGGACTGTATTCTATGGAAGTGCGGTTCTGCACTCGTGACCCAGTTTCAGCGGAAAATGGGCTAAAGCCCACTGTTGGCGGATGCCGCAAAGCTGGTGCAGGCTCTGAAAAGAGTCAGGATCTGCCCAGAAGCCTGGACTAGCAGCCTGCTCAGTCTCTCAACATGCCTGAACCAGAAGCTCCCATCCACAGCACAGTAAGCGCTGGAGGGGCAGAGCAGAGAGCCGATGTCTGACAGTTATGGCTCCCTGATCAGGGTGGAGGGGGAGAACTGAGTGATCAGTGGTGTTCTCTGTGCAGAGCTAATGAGGGACAAATGCAGCATCAGATCAATGCTGCATCCACCCACATAGGAGAGTATTTTTTTTTTCTAGAGCCCATACTTCTCTTTTAAAGACTGAAGTCTTTCCCTGAACTGTACACAAATGACCAGGCGCTTTCCTTCCTGCACACCAAGCAATAAATGTCTGATAAAGTTTCCAGGTCTGCCCCATCTCTACTAAAAATGGTAAGGGGGAAAAAAAAAAAAAAAAGGTTGTCAATCATGATAGGAAAGGGAAAGCTCTGAGTCCCAGACAGCAGTAAAAACCTTACAGGGGCAGCACAGTGGCTTAGGGCTTAGTGGTGATCACATTGACCTTGCAGCATTGGGGTCCAGCCAAATGTTCCTCCAGCGCTCCAAAGACAATCCAGTTGGATAATTGGCTGCTGTCCAAACTAGCCCTAGTAAATGAATGAACATGTAGAATTATGTGATATAGGCCATAGATTGTAAGATCCTTGAAGGTAGTGATGTAAATTAACTATATGTCAAGCTCTATGTACATTGTTCACTATATAAACGCCTGTAAAAAAATAAAACTTCCTCCCTCCTAAAGCGTTACTAATCCCACAACAGTAAAATCAGTCTGTAAAGCATGCTTGTTATACTAACTATGGAACCTAAGGGGTTAATCCTCTGCATTGTGTAAAAAGGCCATTTGATCCTGACTTCTCTACTCCTCCTCTTGTTCAAATGTCCATATCCTATCTCCTGATAACACAGACTGAACTGTAGCCATTCTGCACATGCTCAGTTAAGCGTGTATTGCTAGAGAGGTTTTTTTTTTTTTCTTGGGAGGTGCATGTAATCAGCACGGGGCCACTCAGCAGTTTATAGTTACTAAAATAATTGCATTTCCAGTTGCGTGTACTGTGAGAGACCAGATATTGTGAATTCGGGGTCTGGAGAGACCGACCAGATACAGTGAATTCGGGGTCTGGGGAGACCGACCAGATATAGTGAATTCGGGGTCTGGGGAGACCGACCAGATACAGTGAATTCAGGGTCTGGAGAGACCGACCAGATACAGTGAATTCAGGGTCTGGAGAGACCGACCAGATACAGTGAATTCAGGGTCTGGGGAGACCGGATATAGTGAATGCAGGGTCCGGGGAGACCGGATATAGTGAATGCAGGGTCCGGGGAGACCGGATATAGTGAATGCAGGGTCCGGGGAGACCGGATATAGTGAATGCAGGGCCCGGGGAGACCAGATAAAGTGAATGCAGGGCCCGGGGAGACCAGATATAGTGAATGCAGGGTCCTGGGTTTAGTAACACTTTAAAACAAAAAAGTTTTTGCTGGACATACATATAAATAGAATCATCTGTGCATAATTATTATAATCAATGTGTATATATGTTGGAATGATGCATCTAATTGGTGGGGGAACTAATGGACTGTTCCATATGTAAGCTGAACTTCCTGCTTAGCAGATTGTGATGGTTTTGGCTCTCTCACATCTATGGCTCAGCTCAGACAACTCATTTAACAATACAATCTCTAGGTGGCTTATCCTGCACTTGGTTTTGTCTCACATTATATAGTAAGGATCCTCTTACATTACTCTGAGGACACTAGGAAGAAACTAGAATTCAATATATCAAATACAATCATGAAGAATTGAAACACAAAACAAGTAAAAATCTGAAAGTCATATTAAATATGACTTTCAAGTAAACTTCACATAACTAAACATGTTCTCATTGAAAACAGGTTACAAGTTCCCTATAACAATTAACTGTTTGCATAGAAGCGAAGTTACAGGTATTAAAATTTGCCAAACACATTGGCAGACAGGTAGCCTGGCTGGTACAACACTCTGAAGGGTTGGCCCATAAAATAGACATTTCAACAGAATGCACAGGCATAACAGAACTAGCGAATACATTTACAAAAATCCGTCTCACGGTTCTTCCATACCATGCCTCATTTGTCAAACAATATTTACAAACGCAGAACTACAATTTAACAGTTTCTAAAGAGCATCTGTAGAGCTGCAGAGGAGGTGGTGAAGGAAGACAGGCACTGCCCGCTCTCAGTGATGAAGGGTTTCTGGGATTTCTGAAGGTCCCATCTACTAGCTCCACAGCTCAGGATAGGAGCGCTGTGAAGAGCCTGTTGTTGCATATATAACATTTCTAAGATGCTGAATGGCAGTTGAATCTGTCGAATATCGGGCCTGTTCTGTGTTGATGGGCTAAAGAAAGGCTTCCCTAGAAATGAAAATGCAGCTTGCACAGCAGGTTGATAGAACATCAATGGGAAGTCAACTGCAGGCCAATGAAATGTATCTCAGAAGCATCTCAAATGCCAGTGGAATCCATCTGGAAGCAACACTTCCTTGACTTGGTGGACCTGGATTTAAAATGCTTTGGTATATTACAGGGAACATCTTACATGAATAACTGCCTAAGCAGTAACCTGAAAATCTACCTTTGGCCTGGAGTTCCTCCTGAATATCAGTGCACTTCTTGGTACGAGAGTGCCTACAGAGCTGTATGCCTTACAGTGTAGATCTAAGGCACTGCTAGTCTCCGGAGGATTGAAGTTTGGTTGATGTCACTACTGTGCTGCTCACTGGAGGCTCGGACATAGGGATGCAAAGCCCTGCCACAACCCAAAATGGCCTCCTCCACCCAGAAACAGTGCAGAACAAGACATGGCAAGTGTGTAATGGGGGAGGGATGAGCTGCAGGAAGAACATAGGCAATATTGGTGATCATTGTTGCCTGTACCAAATGGCTTTGCTTTTTTTGGGGGGGGGGGCACAGCTAATTTGGATCCTCCAACTCTCACAGCCTATGCTGCCGGGGCAATAGGTAAACAGCGTGGAGGCACACAAGAAGCCTTACATTTTATATTTTCAAATATACTAAAACCTTCCATCACTGGAAGAATCAAGTACTGGGTCCAACCTCCACCACAGCATTAGGTCACTTCTAACGTACAGCTGTCCTTTAACATGACTTAAATAATCAGAACAAATCCCTGACAGATGAATGACTGACACTTCTAATATATCTAAACTACAATCTGACTTACATAGAAGAGAATACGTGATCCAAAAAACAAGCAAGAGATTCAGAAGAGATTGCACGGACAGGCAGAATGCCTAACAGGCGTATTCAGAAATATAAACAGCAATAATCAGAGTACAGTAACTACCGACCAGTAATCATTTTCACGTAGAGTAAATTGAAATCTGATCAGTTGTTGGGGGGGGTTACTGCATATCAGTACTGTTCCATGTTCTGAATGATCCAATGATCAAAGCTATGGGACAATATACTCCGATATCAGAACGTTTTCAACTTGTAAATATAAGGCAGTTTGTATTTTAGCTTTATTCCTGTAAACATCACGGACACACAGTGGAGATTAAAGTTGTCATGTTCAAGTTTAGTATCAGTAGGGTAGAAGGGACATCAACAATGACGGCGTATTGCATTCTCAGCGATGTTGTTGCTATGGACATCATGGCTGAATCCACTGAGTGTAAACCAGTGTACTTAATAGGCACTGTACATGCACTACTTCAAGAAATGTCTTCATTGCGATTATGTGATAATCTCTCCATACTTAAAGCACATATGACTTTACTATAAAATTGCGTGAGACCGCTATACGCAAGACATGAAACTGTTTCCTATTCATTTGTGCAGATAGAGCACAGAGGAATAGAAAGAACCCCTCATTTCAAATTAACCAAGTCTTTACTAAAAATGGAAATCATTAAATGTGCGTGCAAAATTGCTCACTGGAGGCTCTGATCACTGACTACCTTGTGTATAGCCATCTGGGCTTGTGCTGTCCCACAGAAAGGATCACACCTCATATGAAGAAATAGATGATGGGAATTTACTGCGTACAGATATCTCTTCAATATCACAGTTCTGTACGGCAAAAGAGAACACTAAACATCACAAACATCTGTGAAGCTCACACAGGCCTTAAGTCTCATACACACGATGAGAATATCAGACGAATGGTCATCCCTTGATTTTTGCCTCTAGTTTCAGAAGTTACTAAAGTCTAGAACATTATCGTACAACAGAATACAACTTTGGAAGTGATGTAATGTATTCTTTCATTTCGGAGTATGCCCGATCTTGGTCAATCCATTATTTTTTCCAGATGAATACTATATTGATTAAATAAAAAAATCATTTGTTCTGGTACCATACAAGAAACATTTTCGTGCTTGGCCCTTTGGCTAATTTCTCAAGAACTGTTATGATCGGCTCTCAAAACTTGTGTACTAACAATCAGATTATCAGATGTTTGCTGCAAACGTGGTATTATTCGTCTGAGTTTCTCATTGTGTGTACTAGACCTTAACCTCTTCACGCCGGCACACTCAAATGTGTGGCCTCCCGATGTCTGGGCCTAGACGCCGAGCAGCCGCACATTTGCGTTCTATTAACAAAGGACATATGTGCCAAGAGCGCGCTCCCAGCTCACGTCCGGTACTCACGGAAAGGTCCTGATCTCCTCTTTCGATTGGGACCTTTCCCCATCATGTGACCGTCGTGACAGCGCGTCACGGTGGTCACATGACCCTAAACCCCGCCCCCCCCGGCTTCTGGAACCCTTAAAGGGCTGGGAGGTGCCGGCATGAAGGGGTTAAGCTGGCCTTGCACAGCTTAAATTTCATCCAATTACCACTGAACCAACTGAAATTCAAGCCGTAGGTGGCAGGATGGCATCACCCAACTCAACAAATTCAAAAATTGAAGGAGCCAGGTGGAAAAGTTTGGGAGGAACAGTGACTGCATCCTAGCAGATATAGTCATTGTTCAGGTACACAAGTAGCGGAGGGTGCCGCAGCTGCTTGAAAATAAAAGCTGGGCAGTGCTCCATCCATCCTGTTTAGTGTGGATGGAGAAATTGATTGGTTTTTTTTTTTTTCTACCTCAAGCTGAGCAAGAGAAATCTAGCCATGCATGTCTAGTCTAAATTACAAATCTTGGTATGAAAATGTGCGACTCAAGGCATTTACAAGTATGTAAGTAAAGGCTCTATGATCCTATCCATATAAAATATATTTGGGTTAACACTATAAACCTGAGGGCATCTGCTTTCCTACGTACATCTCGTTAGCAGCTCTCTTGAAAAAATTGGCAGTCAGCCTTTCCTCAGCCTGAAATGGCTGAATGCAGCACAGCAATACAAGAAAACCTTTTTACAGACAAACCCGTGTCCTACTTGTAGCTCTTTTACACAACTAAAAAAAAAAAAAAAGGAACTTCAGATTTAAAAAGACACCTTAGCTGGAGACAAACTACTGGGTGCCAAAGCAAACCTGGATTGCTGCACTGGCTTCAGTACCTTCTGAAACTAGAATGCAGATTAGTAAGTCACACTACTGCCAAAGTTGGTGATCTGCATGCTTGTTCCATATCAGTGCTTCAAGGTATTAAAGCCATTGTATCAGCATGGCAGTCAGGTGATGAGCACTTTCAGGAGAGATCAGCAACACCAGATTCCATTCTTTAACTGGAATTCCTTCAGCTGCATGAAACAACTGTCAGAGCCAAAGCAAATTCACTCTTTTGCATTTTTACAGCGTTCTTCAGACCAAAGCAAAAGCCAGTCAAGAACTTCTCTACAGCAGGGGTGTCCAATCTGCAGCCCAAGAGTGTTAAGCATGTGGCCTGGGGAATGTCTGGAGGGTTGACATGCAAGTATAGAAAGATGCGGCGCCTGGCACGGACAAGCTAGGCCCATTGATGTTTGGAGGGATGTCGGGGACACCGAGTTTACAATAGCATCCACAGTGGCAGGCAATGACAAGCCAGGCGCAGGCCCACTGGAGGGATGTCGGGGACACAGAGTTTACAATAGCATCCACAGTGGCAGGCAAGGACAAGCCAGGCGCAGGCCCACTGGAGAGATATGCTGGGGTTACCCTGTTTGCAACAGAACCGCAGCAGTGAATGCAAAGGACTCCGGGCTAGCTTGAGGAAAATAAATACCGCATAGCTAGATACAGGGGTGTGTTGGGGTGGACTGAGCACCACCTTTCCCCATTTCAACCACCCCCCACCCCAAGCCCTCTGTCCACAACATTGAAATTTGGTTAACTTGGGATCTGTCTGACTTTTTCTTTAAACTGGGTACACACCGCATTTTATTAATTCAACCCAGCAGGCTGAACATTGCTGTACTAATACATGCGATGTTGGTGCAGCCATCTCTGCCACTGTGCTATTGTGTTCCCCCCCCCCCCCCCCCCCCGCCAGAACACACTGATCAGCGCTGGTAGCCACTGCCTGCCAGCGCTGATCAGATGCTGGTTTTTCCAGCATGCCTGTTCAACAGAAGTCAGTGAGGACAATTTCTGTCAGATAGGCAGCTGTACACATGTACCGAATGTCATCCTGTTGCTGCTGAACCAGCCAATATTTGGATTGTGTGAATCCGGCTTTATTTTTAGTGTAATCTGTGTGGCCTGAAAAAATTGCTCTTCTTCCAATGTGGTCCAGGAAGATAAAAAAATGGTTGGACACCCCTGCTCTACTAAGCCAATGAAGCTCAACGGCTTTTCATACAGAGCTCTGCAGACTGATGTCTAGGCCAATGAAAGATCTCCCATACTAATGTCTGATACGATGCTCTACATCACCCTCCTAGCCAGGGTATAATGGAAACCTGGATTTCCTCCATAGGTTGCTATGAGTTCCATAAAAAAAAGAGCTGTTAGCAGATTACCTCCCGCCATTGTAATGGGTTACTACAATTTTCACTGCCTGTGGTTCCATTCTGTCATAGACTGAGATCTAGGCCAGTCAGGTAAATGGGCTCCTCATACAGTGGTCTACAAACTGAAGTCTAGGTCAATCAAGTACAACAACTCTTCTTATAATGCTCTACAGACAGAAATTTAAGCCAATCAAATACAACACTTTCTCATACAATCTTCCTAAGACTGAAGTCTAGACCAAATACAACTTCTCATACAATGCTCTACAGACCGATGTCTAGGCCAATCAAAACACAACCGTACACACAATGCTACACACATTGAAGTCTAGGCCAATCAAGTACAACTTCTCTTACAAGACTACGGTCTCTACTACTAGAGTTCCCCAGCGGCGGTGCTGCGGGGGAAATCTAACTGCAGCTTTCAATGAAATGTTTGCTAGTACTTTGGGTTTACTGGCTTTTAATGTGGGGACAAACCAGGAGCAGTAGTTGCTGTAACTCCCCATGGAGATGGGGAGTAGGAAAAAAAAAAACAAAAAAACAATACAATACAAACAAAACACAAAGTAGAAGAGGTTTGGGGAGTAAGACAGGAGAGAAATTGCTGGTAACTCCTGCTCCTCCCAAGAATGTGCGATTGGAAGGATTACAGGTCAGATTTTACACATTTTACCCTTGTTCAGTTTCTGAATTCTTTGACCAAACAAGCAGAATACCATTTATGGCAAAAAAATAATAATGTAACTTGTTCCTTTGTTATTAAGTATTTGCAATCATTCACTTCTAAACAAACTTTTTTTTTTTTTTTTTTTCCTTTTTTTACAACACACAATCAATCAGCCCAGTACTTGGTTACAATGTGCATAAATGTGCATAGTTACTAAATAATCAGCTTAAGGAAAAAAAACAAAAAACAAACAACAGACATTGCAGAACATGAATAAAACACTGTCACAAAAGCGAAGACACTGAGCCACTGAATTAAACAAACAAAAAAATCAACGGGGTCATTATCGGCAAATCTCAAGACTACTCGCTAAAAAGACACAGCATGTAAAGTAAAAAGCTGACAAAACTTGGCTTTAGAAAGCTTTTAAAGGGGGATTTTTTTGGCAGAGTCTTTGAGAATTAGCACAGTTAGTGCCATTAAAAAAAAAAAAAAGAAAAAAAAAGTTGCATTATATAGTGATTTTTCTTACTGGGGATGAAGGAAAGGGTTACCTATCGTAGTATACATATTATTCCTGAGAGCCAGTCTTTTTTTACCCCCCATTTTGATTAAGAGTTAAGCATCACACAAAAGGAAAAAAAATGACTAAACACTGTTTGACTCCCAGAGTTAAAAGCATCCTCAGCACAATTTTTGCTTTTTTAAAAAAAAAAATTTTAACTGATGGAAGAGTAAACATTTATTTGGAACAAAAATCCCCCCCCCCATCCCTCCCCCACCCCCAAAAAAACAAAACAAGATCCTCCCAACAGGGAAGGACATGACTAACGAAAAAAAAAAAAAAAAATACATTGTAAACAAGAGGTTCCAGGTAAGGCCCCTCTAAACAAAATGCAAAGCCTCTGAAAGTGCTGCTCCCTACTGGCACATGTAGGGTGTATGTCACAGCTGTGGCCACTATTTTTTTTATTTTTTTTTTTTTTTGCTTTTTAAATTTTTTAAAATTTTTTTTAATGACATATATAATTTTTTTTTATTAAAACCGTAGAGCTAAATTCTAATAGGTTTAGTCATGAAAACCTGGTGCAATACTTCTATTTTTTTTCTTTATTTAAAAATGCAAGTTTTAACTGTCGTTTCGCTTAACTCCTTTGCAGCGATGGAAGCGTCGGTGAGCGCCATTGCTCTGCAATGGATTACCGCGCTTCGCGCTGGAGATGGAAACCAGTTAAAACTATGTAATACCACAATAAGGTAGGTATATCAAGGCATCTTAGAAATGACAAGCATTAAATCACTTTTTTTTGTTGTTTTAGTTTGTTTTTTTTTTTTTTGAAGTACACGCTAGAGTAAAACAGTTACACTTGAGCTGTAAAATAATAAGTGTTTGACGCACCTTCAGTGCAACCTAGGCAAACATAGGGACGGGGGTATGGGGTTGCTAGCTTGGAAGTACAAACCCAGAGAAAGGACATGACAAACTGGAATTCAAAAACTAAGGAACAGCTCATTGTATGCAGTTCTAATATGATTAGCACTAATGTGGAAGTGTAAATATAGATTTTTTTTTTTTCTTTCTTCTATTTCACATTATAATATTGGCCTGCATGATTCAAGTATTTAAAACTGATATGTTTTGGGCAAAAAAAAAAAAAAAAAGAAAAAAAAGTGGGAAGTGTGCAGAAGAGCTGGCTGCAGAGAGACCCTGCAGAGGTTTCCACCGAGAGTCCAGCGGGGGGAGGCCGATTATTAACAATCATCTGAGGTCATGGGTGACTAGGCTACATGGGCTCTCCATTTAAGTGATCGATGGGGAGGAAAGCGCTGACAGACGATGGGCTGCTCAGACCCCTGCCCTCGCCGGCAGGGTTGCCCCACAGGCTTGTGGAATAGTTTGGGGTGCCCCAGAGAGAAGTGCCATGGAGGTCTCCAGAGCTAGAGCCAGAAGCCCCTGGGTTGTTCCAGTGATTGATATCTCCGCGGTTTGAGATGCTATGAGGGCTATCCAAAGATCCTAGACGGGTGTGACCAGAGCCCAGGGACTGCCAGCCAGGGGAAGGGGTCATGGACTGGCCTTGTGCAAAGAAACGACTTATCTCCTCTTCACTGGCAAACTCGGCAAGGATAGTAGTGTTCCCTAAAACACACCTGTTAGGAGACAAGAACCAGAAGTATTAGTATGAAAACAAACTTAATCTGCAGTTTCCTACTTTGGGGAAGGAGGAAGGAGAGAGGGAAACTATTGTAGATGTACAATGCAGGCTACTAGAGGTTCATATACCTACAGCAGCTTCTCAAACATTTCTCTCACAGCTGAACACCAGTGTTTTCTTAAAGGCAAAGTTCCACTACTCCGAGGTTAATATTAGGCTGCTAAGCCCCATTCTCACATATTTCTATTGGCCCATCACTGGTCAAAAGGGCAAGCAAGAGCCATGAAAACACTCTACTGCCTTGTATTCCTTTTCAAGACTTTAAGGCAACAAATTTACAATAAAATCTTGTGAAATTTTTTTTTAGAAATGGCTGACTTATGCAGGCCATAGACGGGCCATTTATCGGCCGAATTGTTGGCCAATAAACGAATAAGTAGTCGGTGCCGTTGCTGCCACCAATGTCCAGGAAAAATGGCCGTTTTTTGTGGACTTTACAGCATGACCGATAAAAATAAATGAGTGGATCCGCGAAAAACGGCCGACGGGCTGGCCCCACTAATGGAGTGAATATCAGCCGATTTTTCGTGCGAACGTTAAATGTCCCGTCTATGGCATGCATAACAGTGAGAACAATCATACAGAGGGCATCAGTACATCTAACTCATATCTGCTGCACAGATTTGAGCCTACAATCACACTGTCATACAAAAAGAAACAGCCCAGGTACAAACAACAAGGGGCAACCTGTTTCAAGTCCCAGAAATCAGGAAGAATTACAATCATCAAACTGCATGAAGCAAAAAAAGAGGACTTACATGTGCAGAGACTTTTGTGCCTTTACTACCTCTTCCTTGGAACTGTAACGGACCAGGGCAGTACCATGGGGCAGGTTCAGGTGGAATGTAATCAGAGGGCCGTGCTGCATACAAAGAGTGCGCAGAGTAGAGCCATCAATCTGTGGACAGAAACAAACGGGTGAGCACATAGCAATATCCAACAAGATTGAATGTTTATCACAGGAAAGCACAACTCACTTGAGGTGTTAGGTTTTTCAAAACAAGCCAATTTGTTATTCTCCCTGAGCTGCTTTCACTCCAAGTAGAACCTAAAAAGATAACCACAAGAATGAAAAGAAAATAGCATCAAACTGTTTAAAGTATTTGCAAAGAACACACCAAAACATGCAGATTACAATATTAAAAGTTTTATATTTTTAATTTTGTGATCACGTGAAACCCTTCCTTCGCACTGCTCTTCCCCATTTTTGGGACATTTAAAAAAATTCTCAGCAGCTGGGGTATTGACAGCAAGGCCTCTGCTTTGAGCTGCTATCAACTGACAGAGCATGGCTTCGGGGAGTAATGAGAGCAGACAACATATCCTGCACCTCCAAACACCAAGTCCAGACCTTGCCAGCATAAGTCCACTTCTCTGCCTGGCATGATCAGACTGAAAGGAAACATGGGGTATTCGCTGGATTCCCCAGTATTTTACAGGAATAAGATGGGAATTAAAATGTAAGGCTAGCCTTTCAAGAATCTATGTTAATACACACGTGTATATTTAATATTAAATTTGAGGGTTATACACTTTAAATGTTTTGACCATGGAGGGATTTTAACATTTAAAAATGTCTGTCGATTAACACCCCTTTAAAGTAACATGGAAAAACATCCCTCCAGGAAGGAAAACCATGACCCTAAATACAATATTTTTCTACGGCAACTTAACTCCAGCCACAGGTCAAATATGTTCAATATTGTACATGTTGGTTTTAGGGTACTATGCAAGGGTTTCCCCTCCATTTCATTAAACATGGTCGGCTGCATTAGCGTTAGGTTAGAGCTGTACTACAATGTTTTTAGTAGCTCAATGGCTGTACCAAATTGACTGAGCAATTGACTGATAAACAGATTGAACAAATGGCTCCCTTTGGAGTGTGCTACACAAGTATCAATCTCACAAGATCACATGAATCTGCGCATGTACAAATTATCACTACCATTTATTTTTGCATGCTACCTGTGTAGTTCAATCCATAGGGAGCCATTTGTTCCAGCTGTTTTGAGATCAATTACTACTGATTTTAATAGCGTTACTGAGCTACTAACAATTTCCGTGCAGCTTTGGCTAAGGCAACTTTAGTTATGTTGTGGAAGAGTTTGATGATACTTAAAGGGCAAGTTTACTTTTAGAGAACACGATCCATGCACTGCACTAGCAGCTCCTAGAGCAGTGGTTCTCAACCTGTGGGTCGTGACCCCTTTGGGGGTCGAACGACCCTTTCACAGGGGTCCCCTAAGACCATCAGAAAACACATATTTCCAATGTGTAAAGAGCAGCTACTGTGTAGAAAGCAGCTGCCTTGTTGAAAGCAGCTACTCTGTTAAAAGCAGCTACTGTGTTGAAAGCAGCTACTGTGTTGAAAGCAGCTACTGTGTTGAAAGCAGCTACTGTGTTGAAAGCAGCAGTATTGGAGGTAAAACGACACTCATGAATTATAATTACTGGGTAAATAATTTTATGGTTGGGGGTCACCACAACATGAGGAACTGTATTAAAGGGTCACGGCATTAGGAAGGTTGAGAACCACTGTCCTAGAGTCTGTAAGCATCATAATGATCACAATGGCAAGCGGGCACTGGTCAGTGAGGCCACGTAAACTCGTGAGAATCACAGGAAAGAAGGGCATCCCCTATTCCTGAACTGGATTCCTGAACCCTTAAGCCAGAGATAACCTCATCCTTTGTGCCAAATGAAAAAGTCTGTCCAAAGACTTGATTGACTTGTCCCATGAGGACCGAATGTTGCATTGTAGAGGTCTGGGCAAATGGAACTGCTACTATCAGACCTCATGCAAAACTGGACATGGTTACACCACTTCTGGACTGGAGCTCAAATCTGAGATATGAGAAGATTCCTGTGGAAAAAGCCCTCTAGCTTTAAACCAGGACTAGACCCAGATACTCCATGTGATAAGTACCAATGACTATTTCAGATGGTTTAGGACCCATTCTAATCACTATAACACCCAGAAAGTGAAAACCATGTTGTGTGACAAAGCCTGCGTCATCTATTCCTACAACAGGACCATGTCTAAATCCCCCCCCAAGGAAATGCCACAAGAATGCAACAGGGTTTATACTGGGGCTGGCATCTTGATAAACACCCAAGTGCAGAAGATAGGCCCTCAATGACAAGGCCATTAAATGAGACTGTCAGGCCCACACAAAACTCTGAAATTCTGAAGCCCTGGAAAAGTGAGAACATGTAGGTACTCATTGCATAAGTTAAACAATACATCTAAAACATCATAGTCCTTAATCCTGTTTAAAATCATAAACATCACTCAAAGCAATGGTATGAGTAAAACTATATATGAGTCCCAATGGATAAACTCTGTGGCGAAGGTGATATTCAAGATCCAACAGGTTGTGCGCATAAATACTGGAATCAACCATAAAGTGGGAAATGCTTATCATCCGGTGGTGTGCGATAGATTAGTGGGATTGCAAACTCACCAGAAGCGCAATCTTATTGCACATTAGCCAGTATTTGCCAGCCTGGAGATCTCCCTTCCATGGAACCTGGTCTGGTCTGGAAAATCTTTCCCTCGGGAAATCCCTTAGAAATCTTTCTAATCAGAACCATTAGGAGGGCACCCGTTCCCCTCTGCTGGGAACAATAGGGACAAGTCTCCTCCTCACCTGAACGTTTGGGAGTGAATACCCAGCAACCCTTGCAATGGACCAGCAACCCAGCCCATCTGACCCTCAGCGTCCAGTCAGGACCTAGGTCCCATCTGATTTGGAGGATGGATTAACTCCCCTATGACCAGACCACCCATGAGAGGGACCTCTGATTGACCTCACCAAAGCGTCCATACCATCAGAGGGAAAGATTTTCCAGACCAGACCAGGTTCCATTGAAGGGAGAGCTCCAGGCTGGAAATACTGGCTAATGATGTTTTAGATGTATTGTTTAACTTCTGCACTGCACCTTTCCTTGACACATTTTGATCTTACTGAGAGGAGTTTTTTTTTTTGGTGCATTTAGCTGCTATTTTTGTTAGCGCTCGCTGATTTTCTTTAGGTTATGTAGGTACTCATTGTTGGTGTTCCCAAAAGCCAGGGGATAATGACAGATCTGGTGGATGCCATACAAAATTTCTGGGCTCAAGCAAACATTCAGGGCTTTGAAATCCTTAAAAACCACCAGCGTATTGGTTATTGCTGTTAACGCAATTTATAGGGTCTCATTCCATCCCTTTTGAGATTGTGTTTTTGTACTCCGCTCCTCTCCGTGTCAATATTTCAGTGCATTTGTTATGTCCTTCACTAACAGAATTGTACACCTAACTTTTTTTTGTATTAAGGAGCTTGTCTCTGGCTGTTTCTTTGTTGTTGTGTTGTCTATAATAAAACTCATTGTAAAAAGAAATCCTTGAAAACATTCTGCCAAAGGAACTGGGACAATGATACCTTGGTGCAGGCAGAGAGCTAATAAACTGTGTTATGACACAAAAGGGCTGAAAATGAAACCGAGGTGGTAGCAAGGTGAGAAACTCTCGTACTGAAAAAGACTTGCTTGAGGATTTGGCAGATTTAGGAGTGCCAGACCTTGTGGGTGGACTGGCAGACAAGCTTGAGGCGAGACCAGACACAGCTTTGAGTGAGTGGCAGTGTCCACCAACTTACAGCAACATTAGCAGAGACCAGAGAGTCTGTGTCAGCAGGACAAGCTCCTTTTGTATATCCCTTTCTTATAATGACAGAGCTGCTTTAAATCAAAGACCATCTATAATTCAGTACACTAGGGTCTAGGGGAGAAGATAATGAAACACTGCAATATGCGCTATACTTTATAAACAAAGAAAAGAAATGAAAGTACAGATGGGTAAAACCCTGACAGAATCAGAATTAAGGCAGAAATGAGTTCACCAACAGGTCTCATTGAAATTAGATCCGTTCTTTCAATAGTAGTCTGACCTATGTGGAACAACAGTGAACAGAAAGTGCAAACAAATGAATGCATCACTGCTTTTCTGTACTACTTACCTGGTGTGTATCTTGAGTCAGAAGCTCCCCAACCGCCACCAAGGCGCAGGGAGTTGTTATCCCAAGCGGAAACGGGTGGCTTCTGACCAGTAAGCCCTGGGGGAGGTCTGGACGGTGCACTGATATTTTTTAGATGGCAGGGGGACTTTCCACAGCTCATGAGCCAAGGATGTGTTATTGACGGAACCAGGTGACCAAGTAGGTTTAGGATCGCTGTTTCTAACTGTTGGGTAAAAGAAACATCTATAAGACATCTGAAGTTCATTTACATCAGTGGAGTGTCAGCTAAATAGACCAACACTGCTGCAAGCAGACATGTACCTGAAGTGCTTTGTGCGGTACTGCTGTGGGAGACATTGTAGGCATTGGAGGCACGAATGGATGACCAGGCACTATTTGAAGGCAGCGTGGTGTTCATAGATGAGGATGACCCTAAAAACAGACATTTTTATTTTAATGTACATTACAAAACAATAAAGCGGTGCTGCACGGTAAGGTCTTCACTGCTTTCCGTTTCTCCCTTTTCTACAATCCAGTCCTTTTGCTTTCTCAATCCCGCTTGTCCAGTCCTTGAAGTCAACAGGAGCAGAAGTTTAAAGATTTCTTCGACAGACTGACAATTGAACTGTTGTGATAGGCTGAACAAACAACTGGTATTTTATATCAGGGCTTGAAATTTCCACTCGCCTGCTCGCCAATGGTGAGTGGAAATTATGGTGGGGGCAAGTGTGTGTCCCAGGGCCGACTTGCTGAGCAGGCTCGGAGCTCAAGCCGGATCAGTCATTGGCACTGGGAGCCGTCAGACTGCTCAATAGCTGTGTGTGTTTGTGTATATGTACATGTGTGTATCTGTACGTGTCTGTTCGTGTGTGTGTGTGTGTGTGTTGTTCGTGTGTGTGTGTGTGTGTTCGTGTGTGTGTGTGTTTCGTGTGTGTGTGTGTTCGTGTGTGTGTGTGTGTTGTGTGTGTGTGTGTGTGTGTTCGTGTGTGTGTGTGTGTTCGTGTGTGTGTGTGTTCGTGTGTGTGTGTGTTCGTGTGTGTGTGTGTCTGTTCGTGTGTGTCTGTTCGTGTGTGTCTGTTCGTGTGTGTCTGTTCGTGTGTGTGTGTGTGTCTGTTCGTGTGTGTATATACGTACATGTGTCTGTGTATTTCTGTGTATGTACATGTGCATGTGTGTACGCGTGTCTCTGTGCATGTGTGTACGCGTGTCTCTGTGTCTCTGTGCATGTGTGTACGCGTGTCTCTGTGCATGTGTGTACGCGTGTCTCTGTGCATGTGTGTACGCGTGTCTCTGTGCATGTGTGTACGCGTGTCTCTGTGCATGTGTGTACGCGTGTCTCTGTGCATGTGTGTACGCGTGTCTCTGTGCATGTGTGTACGCGTGTCTCTGTGCATGTGTGTACGCGTGTCTCTGTGCATGTGTGTACGCGTGTCTCTGTGCATGTGTGTACGCGTGTCTCTGTGCATGTGTGTACGCGTGTCTCTGTGCATGTGTGTACGCGTGTCTCTGTGCATGTGTGTACGCGTGTCTCTGTGCATGTGTGTACGCGTGTCTCTGTTTGTATGTGTTTGTTGGTGGCGAATAACTCTAAGGCCTGGCTAGTAGCTCAGGACTTGAAATTTTAAGCCCTGTTTTATATGATATTGATGTGCATGTAAAATGTAAGGAATAGGAAGTACACTTACGTTTGAAGCTGCAGTCTACACAGAAATGATGTTTTAGTTATAGATGAAGCCTAGTGGGAGGAGGTAGCTGTCTGCACTCTCTATCCACCTATCTTTCTATCTGTGTGTGCACATTACTGTATATCACAGGTGTCAAACTGGCAGCCCTCCAGCTGTTGCCAAACTACAAGTCCCATGAGGCATTGCAAGATTGACAGTTACAAGCATGACTCCCAAAAGGTAGAGGCATGAAGGGTCTTGTAGTTTCACAACAGCTGGAGGGCCGCCAGTTTGACACCCCTGCTGTATATGTATGTGCATTCTCCATGACACAACAAATAAACTCTGCCTCAAGGAACTGGAGCACACACACATCTCATTAATAGCGTTCCCAAGGAATTATATACAAAAAAATATTCTACAGCAAAAAATACGGCCCAAATTTGGCTCAGGACGCAACTGCGTCCTTTAATTTTTTGCTATTGAATGAAGCAGAATATCATGCTGCCCAGCATAGCTCTATCAATGGGCCCATAGCATTCTAAAAATCGATATGCTGTATTACAAATTTTTTTCTGCCTATGAATACAAGTAAAAATGTTTCCATGTATTTGTCTACATACCCTCTTAAATGAAAGGATCGGTCAATGAACAAAAATCCAGGCCTGTATTAATCTACTCAGACTTGAAACTGTGCAGCCAAGGAGCAGAGTATTCCAAGACATCTCAATATAGAGAAGGCTGCAGTAGTATACTCACCACTATTTCTGTCCCTGAGGTGGTCCACACCCCGCACAGTATTAATTGACAGATTATTGATGACACTGCCAGGAGTGACATACGGGTCAGTTTCTGGGTCAATGTTTGGATATCCTTTCCACGGCTCACCGGGGCGAAATTCTGGAAGAAAGCATTTGAGCTCTTAGTACAAGAAACACGAAAGAAAGCCTATTAGATTCCAGGGTGAACCTCAAATGAACCAAAGCCGAGAACAAATTGGAAATGGACCTCCTCTAATCCGAGCTTACTGCACAATCCACCTACTGAATAACTCAAAGTAAAATTCTGAACTAGCATTTTGTGACATTGTTCTCATGATATGCAGGCTCTTGGCATCTGCAGTCACTCAGGGCCCTAAAGTAAAGCAGACTACAGAACTCAGGTCTAAGCATTTTTATATAGTTTTTAAAGGGGAAAAAAAAAAATCTAAACCTTGATATGTAATTTCTGAACTAGAGAGGGCTCCCACGTGCAAACTAGCGGATTTCCAAAACCAAACAACCAAAATAATAAGGTACAAAACAAGCCTCTGATGACACAAATACGTTGCTTGCTATCACTGATTGCTTCTGAAAATGCTAGCTGCCTTGATGTCATGGGGATTCACTGGTTTCGGTACTTGGAGCCCTTGACGAGCATGGTACTTTGTTATGGTACTCAGAGCTGGAACAAGAAGGTTTCAGGTCATGGACTCAAAACACTAATGCTGACAGCCACACAAATCTGCATTTTGTAAAGCGCTGCGCAAACTGTTGGCGCTATATAAAACCTGTATAATAATACATTTCCAGCAAGAGGTCAGCAACAGCAGTCTCCGCATTGCTCTAAATCTAGGTGTCCTTTAGGATAGTTTGGAATCAGGTGGAGTCATTGTATAGCTGTACCTGCTCCCATTGTTTTATCACCAAATTAAGCACAACAATTACCAGAGTTCTTTAAACCAAAACACCAGACAATGGCAGTAGTCTCTCACCCGGTGGCCAGCTGACACTGCTGGAGCCATTTGGCGATTTGGCACTGGGCCAGCCATCCCCTATAGATCCTGGAGGGCTGGATGGAGCATTACTGCTGTTCATGAAGTCATAAGAACCAAATGGAGAATCTTCAAGCCTAAAGCCACTAGAAATAGCACCTGTGAAGGGAACAAAATGTTCTGTGAGATCCTGAACGTAACCTAACCCCTTGTAAACGGTCAGCTGCAGAGTTTATACACAGGAAGCCACTTACCATGTTTACTGGAGTTCTGGTCCAGTGAAGTATTCGAAGACATGCTGTCAACTGTAGTCCATTTCCTCAGACGGGACTGTGGTTCTTTCATGCCCCCAAGTTCCATATTTACATTCGAGTTTAAGCCTAGAACATCAAGCAAACATTAGAATATGCTGTGTAAGTATTAGAAACAACATATGGCAGGCTAACAAGAGTAGACCCTGCATCATAGAAGAACTTTTGGAACGCCAAAAGAATCAATTTTTTTGTTTTTAAAGTTCGTACACTTCAGTTGCTGTAAATAAGCCATTTCATGAAATAATTGGCAAAAAGCTAGATCCATTTGTTGTTTGTTGATAAGAACTAATATTTTGACTCAAACCAAAAAAAAAAAAAAAAAAAAAAAAAAAAGAGTTCTAAGTTCTTAATCAGATGATACACGCAATTCAAAACATGGGACAAATACGTCCCTTGGTCCTCAAAGGGTTAAAGCAATACACACTATATATTAAATTAGATCGTAAGCTCCCAGGATCAGGGCCCTCCTATTCCTTCTGTACTGAAACGTATTGTCATTGTACTGTCTCCCTTACATTGTAAAGCGCTGAGCAAACTGTTGGCGCTATATAAATCCTGTATAATAATAATATTAAGAGACACAGGTAGGCTGGATGGCATATTAAAACCATGATCAAAATACACAATTTCAATATCGCCGCGCTATAAGTGATCATTTACAAAAATTAAAGCAGCCAGCACAGTACTGCAGGTGTCAACACATAAAATTACATAAACAAACGTGCAGCGCTATACATTCAGAATTACTAATAACCATAAGAAATATATATAAGTGTAAAATACCCAATAATGTGCAAAAAACACTGTATGGTACAAATATAAGTCCAAAAATAGGAAAAAAAGTTTCCCAAAAAATAAAATCAATATAATCAAAAAAAAATGTCTCAAGTGCACATGAAAGTCCAATTTTTTTTAAATGACTCAATAAACACAAGTGTAAGTTTAAAAAAAAAACAAAAAAAAAAAAAAAACTTTCTTGGGAATCCACAATTACCAGCACCTCAAAAAATACTGCTGCTTACCAGACATATATGACTTCACAATAACCATCACTTAATTGTGGGGTCATATATGTCTGGTAAGCGGCAGTATTTGAGGTGCTGGTGGATTCCCAAGAAAGTTTTTTTTACACTTGTGTTGTCTTTGGAGTCATTAAAAAAAATTTTTGGACTTTCATTTGCACTTGGACTTTATTTTTGATTATATTGATTTTATTTTTGGGGAAAAATGTTCCTATTTTTTTTGGACTTTTATTTGCGCCATACAGTTTTTTTTTGCACATTATTGGGTATTTTACACTTATATATATTTCTTATATATTTTTTATGGTTATTAGTAATTCTGAATGTATAGCGCTGCACATTTTTTGTTTATATATTAAAACCATGGTTAGCTACCTAAAAGGACTAACCTATTCAACTAGGGCAGCACAGTGGCTAAATGGTTAGCACTTCTGCCTGGCAGTACTAGGGTCGTTGGTTCGAATCCCAGCTATGGCACCTCCTGCCTGGAGTTTGCATGTTCTCCCTGTGCCTGCATGAGTTTCCTCCGGGTACTCCGGTTTCCTCCCACACTCCAAAGACATGCTGGTAGGTTAATTGGATCCTGTCTAAATTGGCCCTTGAATATGAATGTGAGTTAGGGACCTTACATTGTACGCCCCTTGAGGTTTAGAGACTGATGTGAATGTACAACATATATATGTAAAGTGCTGCGTAAATTGACGGTGGATCGTGACGCAACGTGTTGGAACGCATTGACAGCACTTCCGGGACGCGGGTGACGTCGTTTCCGGCGTGGACACCATTTTGGAGCTATCGTGGAGCTGCTGATCAGCATCTAACCATGAGTATACCCATGATATGGGAAAAGGCGTTTTTATATGTTTTATAAATGTGAGTGGGCTATTGGCTTTGCTATTTTGTATTAATAAAGGCAGGTTTACACTATGGTATATTTTTGTTTTTACTAATATCCTGCCACGGTCACCCTTGTCCCAAAATCCTTGAGTCTGGAGAAGGTTCAGAAGTGTTGAGGTCGGATCCCTAAGTGTTCTTATCCCGTGGAGAGTCATCTGGAATATACAGGGGTTACCCACACAGTATTTTGGCCCCATGGGGTCTATATAAGGAGGTGAGGAGCCAATTTGGCCATTTATGGATTGATCCACACACCATATGGCACTGTGATCACCCCACGTGGTTTGCTGTGTGTTACGTAGTGACCACTGTACTTGGAATTGATTTAGTATGGACTTTCAAACAGCATTGGACTCTCTTATGAGCACTTGCACAATATATGTAATTTCCCCTCTCTGATATATTGTTCGAAATGTGAGCTATGGTGCTAGAAATATTGCTCTCTCTCCAAAGTTCACGGTAATACCTCACATAAGCAGTGCTTTCACTGTATACGTACAGTCAGGTCCATAAATATTGGGACATGGACACAATTCTAACATTTTGGGCTCTATACACCACCACAATGGATTTGAAATGAAAAAACAAGATGTGCTTTAACTGCAGACTGTCAGCTTTAATTTGAGGGTATTTACATCCAAATCAGGTGAACGGTGTAGGAATTACAACAGTTTGCATATGTGCCTCCCACTTGTTAGGGGCCAAAAGTAATGGGACAATTGGCTTCTCAGCTGTTCCATGGTCAGGTGTGTGTTATTCCCTCATTATCCCAATTACAATGAGCAGATAAAAGGTCCAGAGTTCATTTCAAGTGTGCTATTTGCATTTGGAATCTGTTGCTGTCAACTCTCAAGATGAGATCCAAAGAGCTGTCACTATCAGTGAAGCAAGCCATCATTAGGCTGAAAAAAAAAAACAAAACAAACCCATCAGAGAGATAGCAAAAACATTAGGCGTGGCCAAAACAACTGTTTGGAACATTCTTAAAAAGAAGGAACGCACCGGTGAGCTCAGCAACACCAAAAGACCCGGAAGACCACGGAAAACAACTGTGGTGAATGAGCGAAGAATTCTTTCCCTGGTGAAGAAAACACCCTTCACAACAGTTGGCCAGATCAAGAACACTCTCCAGGAGGTAGGTCTATGTGTGTCAAAGTCAACAATCAAGAGAAGACTTCACCAGAGTGAATACAGAGGGTTCACCACAAGATGTATACCATTGGTGAGCCTCAAAAACAGGAAGGCCAGATTAGAGTTTGCCAAACGACATCTAAAAAAGCCTTCACAGTTCTGGAACAACATCCTATGGACAGATGAGACCAAGATGTACCAGAGTGATGGGAAGAGAAGAGTATGGAGAAGGAAAGGAACTGCTCATGATCCTAAGCATACCACCTCATCAGTGAAGCATGGTGGTGGTAGTGTCATGGCGTGGGCATGTATGGCTGCCAATGGAACTGGTTCTCTTGTATTTATTGATGATGTGACTGCTGACAAAAGCAGCAGGATGAATTCTGAAGTGTTTCGGGCAATATTATCTGCTCATATTCAGCCAAATGCTTCACAACTCATTGGACGCCGCTTCACAGTGCAGATGGACAATGACCCAAAGCATACTGCAAAAGAAACCAAAGAGTTTTTTAAGGGAAAGAAGTGGAATGTTATGCAATGGCCAAGTCAATCACCTGACCTGAATCCGATTGAGCGTGCATTTCACCTGCTGAAGACAAAACTGAAGGGAAAATGCCCCAAGAACAAGCAGGAACTGAAGACAGTTGCAGTAGAGGCCTGGCAGAGCATCACCAGGGATGAAACCCAGCGTCTGGTGATGTCTATGCGTTCTAGACTTCAGGCTGTAATTGACTGCAAAGGATTTGCAACCAAGTATTAAAAAGTGAAAGTTTGATTTATGATTATTATTCTGTCCCATTACTTTTGGTCCCTTAACAAGTGGGAGGCACATATGCAAATGTTGTAATTCCTACACCGTTGACCTGATTTGGATGTAAATACCCTCAAATTAAAGCTGACAGTCTGCAATTAAAGCACATTTTGTTCATTTCATTTCAAATCTATTGTGGTGGTGTATAGAGACAAAAATGTTAGAATTGTGTCGATGTCCCAATATTTTTATGGACCTGACTGTATGAGCACCAGACCTGCGTGAACATTTCCATTTCCATGAGAGCTTTGGGGGGGGGGGGGGGGGGGGGCATTTAAAGGTTTCTCGTTTTTAGTTAAAATGTTTTACACTTTTTTCCCCGTTTACCTTTACTGCTATCACAGGGGGTGAACAAGCCCCTTGTGATAGCTTTAGCTTTAGGCAGTGACAGGTACTCAATATTGAGACATCAGGGGTCTATTACCCCCCTGACATTTACCCTCCCCTTCAAAGCATCTAATCAATCACACATCATATTTGATCATATGCTGCCCTGGCTGTACCATCCATGGGATGATAGCACTGAAACCAAAAGTCATGAAATCCTCATTGCTTTCGGCTTCATTTGGGGAGGGGAGCCAGGTCTCACTCATGTGCTGTAAAGCATATATATATAAAAAAAAGAAAGAAAAAAAAAAAGATAGAAAAACAAACAACACAGTACCAAAATCATATTCGGGCATAACCACTTGCTGCCCAGCAAACACCAATAATTTGCCCTCTTTGAAGCTCAGTAAGCTCTGACATGACTCCATATTACTAGCAGCGCACACAGTGAATGACGAAAGTGAGGCTTCCCACCTGTTAGCTAGGTGTCTCATCACACAGCGGAAGTAAAAGATTATTATAACACATTCGCTTTCAAAGTGAAACATGTCATCACTTTCACACCTGCAAGATCATGTAGTGTTTCCATTTTTCTGTCCAACCCCTATGTGTATGCTGGTTGGCAAACAGTTAAATACAGCATGCTCTATATATTTCTGTATTTGAAATGTTGTATTCCACTACAAAAACCCCATTCAGGGCAAAGTGATAGCATCTCATATTAGTCTTCACCAGACTAGCAAATGCTGCGATGGAACTTACCAGGGTTGGTGACTATGCTGCCCTGCTCATGTGACAGTGTCTGGATCTGTCAATTGACCACTACAGCTGTTATATGGGGGGCGTAAAAACACATGTTGCTATCACACCATGGATCCATAATCAAACGTCCGAATGTTTATTAAATCAATTATATATTGGTGCACCTGCAGTTATTGTGATGTGGTCAATTTAATAAACATCTGGACTGAGGGGAAAAAAATGTGTTTTTTGCATCATGTATTTCCTAATGTCTCAAGTGACAAATCAAGCACCTAAAATAAGATCTGAATAGAGCCAACTGACGATAAACCACTATAGAATGAACTCTTCCGCTACGAAGGATTCTGGCAGCCACAAAAAAAAAAAAAAAAAAGCGGATCCTTTAGAATCCGGGTTTACTCTATAAGAAGGGCATGTGCACCAGAAACACTGCAGAGAAACACTGAAGGCAGTTAAGGCAAAATATCAGTATTATGGTAACTGTACAGATCAGTTATAGCTGCTGGGAAGAGGGTCTATACAGCATACTTAGTTTCGAAATTAGAGAAGGAGAATGACAGACAATTAATATTAATGAGCGAGAATACACTCACCTAATGGGAAGCCATTGAAAGTGTTGATGGGTGAAGGGCCTTTGGGAAGTTCCGGGGCTGAGTGCGGCAGCACGTTATCAAGGAAGGACTTGATAGGAGGCTGGTGGAGCATCGGTTGCTGGGAAGGGGGGATAGCTTGCTTCATCAAGTGATTGGGATCAAGCTGGCGGGACTGTTGCATACCAAGAGATCGGGCCTTAAAAAGTTAATGTCGTTATTAGACATATGATATGGCAAAGAAATTGCAATCAGCATACATGCCATGCTCATTAACTGTACAGGTTCATGTCCTTTTTCAGATTCACTCAGCTGGGCCATGCTGAAAGAGTCAGTTACACACAGATCCTAATATTTACATGAGTAACAGAGGCACAAAAACCCATACATACAGTCATGGCCGAAATTGTTGGCACCTTGATATTTTTCCTGAAAATCAAGTATTTCACACAAAAAAAGGTATTGCATTAACACATGTTTTGCTATACACATGTTTATTCCCTTTGTATGTATTGGAACAAATATAAAACAGAGGCAGAAAAGCAAATATGACATAATGTCACACAAAACCCCAAAAATGGGCTGGACAAAAGTATTGGCACCCCTTAACTTAATATTTGGTTGCACACCCTTTGGAAAACATAACTGAAATCAGTCGCTTCCTATAACCCATCAATAAGCTTCTGACACCTCTCACCCGGAATTTTGGACCACTCTTCCTTTGCAAACAGCTCCAGGTCTCTCTTATTGGAAGGACACCTTTTCCCAACAGCAATTTTAAGATCTCTCCACAGGTGTTTCAATGGGATTTAGATCTGGGCTCATTGCTGGCCACTTCAGAACTCTCCAGCGCTTCTTTGCCATCCATTTCTGAGTGCTTTTTGACGTATGTTTGGGGTCATTGTCCTGCTGGAAGACCCAGGATCTTGGACGCAAACCCAGCTTTCTGACACTGGGCCCTACAGTGCGACCCAAAATCCTTTGGTAATCCTCAGATTTCATGATGCCTTGCACACAGTCAAGGCGCACCCAGTGCCAGAGGCAGCAAAACAACCCCAAAAACATCATTGAACCTCCACCATATTTTACCGTAGGTACTGTGTTTTGTTCTTTGTAGGCCTCGTTCCGTTTTACTCGGTAAACAGTAGAATGATGTGCTTTACCGAAAAGCTCTATCTTGGTCTCATCTGTCCACAAGACGTTTTCCCAGAAGGCTTTTGGCTTACTCAAGTACATTTTGGCAAACTGTAGTCTTGCTTTTTTATGTCTCTGTGTCAGCAGTGGGGTCCTCCTGGGTCTCCTGCCATAGCGTTTCATTTCATTTAAATGTCGACGGATAGTTCGCGCTGACACTGATGCTCCCTGAGCCTGCAGGACAGCTTGAATGTCTTTGGAACATGTTTGGGGCTGCTTATCCACCATCCGGACTATTCTGCTTGCAATCTTTCATCAATTTTCCTCATCCGTCCACGACCAGGGAGATTAGCTACAGTGCCATGGGTTGCAAACTTCTTGATAATGTTGCGCACTGTGGACAAAGGCAAATCTAGTTCTCTGGAGATGGACTTGTAACCTTGAGATTGTTGATATTTTGCCACAATTTTGGTTCTCAGGTCCTCAGACAGTTCTCGTCTCCTCTTTCTGTTGTCCATGCTTAGTGTGGCACAGACAGACACACAATGCAAAGGTTAAGTGAACGTCTCTCCTTTTTATCTGCTTTCAGGTGTGATTTCTATATTGCCCACACCTGTTACTTGCCCCAGGTGAGTTTACAGGAGCATCACATGCTTGTAACATTCTTATTTATCCGCAGTTGTGAAAGGGTGCCAATACTTTTGTCCAGCCCATTTTTGGAGGTTTGTGTGACATTATGTCGAATTTGCTTTCTTTCCTCCCTTTTTTTGTTTTGTCCCAATACACACAAAGGGAATAAACATGTGTATAGCAAAACATGTGTTAATGCAATACGTTTCGTGAGAAATACATGATTTCCTGGAGAAATATCAAGGGTGCCAACAATTTCGGCCATGACTGTATTATTACACCTTTCCCATTGAATATTTGACTGGAAAAACAGCTTGCTCCCCTCCTGGCAACCAGTGTCTGGTTTATATTCTCATCTGGACCAACAGAAGTGGGAAGCCAGTTCATTGATAGAAAGGATACAGAGAGGTCACAGATTTTATACAGAGGTCATAAGAGGGAATGGAGGTTTCCACCACCCTGGGGTCAGATGGTCAATCAAGCTGTAAGCATTTGAAAAAATTTCCTCTTTAAATGAAATCCATCACAAGAAAAATAAGGCAGTTACTGCTGACCATCGTCTGAAAGTGATAAATACTTAACTGTCATGCCATGCTAGAGCTTGGATACTTTGACTCAATGGCATTGAACAAGCATGGAGGTCTGGAGTTCTGAGTTCACCCACCGTATGCTAGTTCTAGGCCTGGTAGTCATAAAGGGATTATGTTTAGCCAATCTTTTGTTTCTGATATAGAGTAGGGAATGGTTTAACATCTGAGAGTTCATTTTTGTTGTACCATTTGGAAATTTTCCTTCACCTAAAGTACAAGAGACACAAAAGGAAGAAAGAAAATTTCCACGCCCCCCTCTTGGACAAATCTTTCCAGAACAGGTGTCCCCCTGGAAGATCTCCCCTTATCTTGTTCTAGAGACAACTCTAAAATGTTGTGTTTCCCTTCACTTTCTCTCTAGGTGACTATGGTCACTGGTACAAATATAGCGGTGCATTTCCATGGACAGAAGGTCTAACCTTCCCAGCTAACTATGAAAAAGAATTTTTTTTTTGGCCCTGGAGTACACTTTAAAGCCAGGGACTACTAGCTTTATTTTATCACATGTTCATGTAGCAAATATGAAGCCATGAGGATTGTACATTTAACTACCTGTTGTTCCTGTTGCTGGCGCCCCCCTGTAGGCATTCCTCCTCTTTGATTCTGCACTTTTCTGCTGTTGAGCCAATAGCCGCTGAAAAAAATAAAAAAAATAATAAATTGGGCCTGAGAGAGATATATATATATATATATATATATATATATACACACACACACCGACACATATATATACAGGGGTGGACTGACCATTTGAGCACGGGGTCAGTAGGGGGCCCCATGAAATGCCCCTGGTACCTTTCATTGGCTTTTTTGGGTGTGGGCGGGGACACAGGGGCCCCATGAGTTGTCAGTACACACACACACAGCACTTGTAAGAAAGATACGTGCGATATTTGCGCTTTGGTATAAATCTATGGCATAACAACTGCTAGACAAACCATAATGTATCTTAACAAGACTGTCACAAGACCGTCAATCTGACAAAAATCTTCCCATAAGATATATGCGTATTTAATTGGCTTGTAAAAGCCTCCCTTTATACAGACATCCAAAGCAGACTGCTGATGAGCGCTGCCATCTTAGATGTGATGTCAGCAGACTCAGAGTTGTCACTCTACAGTATTCCCTTATGCTCCTCCATAAATAGCTACATATTTATATATTTTATATACATGGGCTATAAAAAGAAGAAGGAAATGTGGTGGGGACCTGGGTTAGCACAGTTCATAAACACACAGCAGCAGATCAGAATGAAGTAGCAATGAAAGCACTGTTAATGCCGAGCTGGACTCTACCTGCAGATAGTACTGGCTTGATATATCCAGCAAATTTTGGCATGCCCTATATAGAGATCAAAGCAAAACTTACTTGAAGCTGGGAGATCTGAGTGAGCTGGGAAAGTTGACTTAGTTGTGAGAGTTGGTTCAACATGGCTACTTGTTGGGGGCCAAACAGAGGATTCAGTCCCCCATTGTTAGGCGGATACTTCAGTAAAGGAGGGACCTTAAAAAAAGCATAAAAAAAGCAAAATAAAACAATTTTAAAATCACAGAATCTGCATGTATGGTAAATTGTCTGTCACTTATTTTGCCTCCTTTTCAAAGTCACCTTGCAAATAAAGATCAAGTATACTTACCAGGCTCTGAGCCCAAGTATGCCCATTAGGCTCTGTTATGTAATGTTTTTGAAATTGAATTAAATGTTATTTGAAATTGAATTAAAAAATAAATACTTATCGGTCTGATAAGAGGCAAGTCCTACCTTCATTCACTTAAAAAGCTACAATACCTAAAGAATTTTCAGGACATACTTCTAGGTATATCGGATACCTGCTCCTTCAACTATGTTATGATTCCATCTGTTGTTCTCTTCTCTAACCCCAGGTTCACATCTGTGTAGTCGTGCGGGCCACGACTTGTGTTGGCACGAGAGCCCATTCATTTGAATGAACTCCCGTGCCATGCAGGGAAGAAGTCCCTGCACTACTTTGGAAATCGCAGCCCACACGGGAACCGAGGTTCCCAGTACGGTTGCGATTTCCAGTGCGGGCGACGTATCATTAGAATTATTGGCACCAGCCTGCGGGTCCCACATTCCTCTGTGCAGGTCGTGCGGCTGCAGAAAATTGTGTGGGTTTTGCAGCGGCACCACCCGCACATATGTGAACCGAGGGTAACACAAGACACAGTTGTGTAACAGGTTCAAGTTGATGGAATTAAAACACAGAAACAGGGATCAGGTATCCAACACGCCCCACGTGTGTTTGAAGCAAAAGAGTGTTCGGGTGCCATAGCACTTTAACAGCGCAAAGATAAAACTCGCCTCCCACTGGACCGGTAAGCATTCCTGATCTTCTGCAGTGATCTTTGAAAAGAACATTTTTTTCGCTTAAGTCACTCTGACAATGGCCAGATATCTGCAATCCTTGAAACCGGGATTTACAAAACTCTGGATATATCCCTGTGTATATAACAGGAACGGGTTGGTAAACTCTCACTGAAAACGGTATTAAACCCCAAACCGAAAATACAACAATGCAGCTATTCATTAGATGTGGTAGCTGCATTAGTTTTCTTTTTTTGGGGGGGGGGGGGGGGGGGGGTTTCACTTGATCTGGCCAGTAACACACCTCCTGTAAAGAATGGCCCCACTTTGTAGGTAGAAGCACGTTTGGACTTCAGCACTGTCAGCCTGTGAGGAGGGCTGTGTTGGATGCATTAGCAGATTTAAAAAACACTAACAAAATAAAGCTGAATTTATTACAGGTGCTTGTATAGAGCCGTCAATTTATGCAGTACTACACACACACACCTCTAAGGTCACTAACCCTAATGCAATCTAATAGTTTATAATCAGTTAAAGCCAACTTTTTTCCCTTTTGGGTAAAAGTTTTACAGAAATATAAGCTCATCATTTTAACCATTCCTGAAAAACAAGATTTACTGGCTGGATCATCAAATGAAAAAAGAAAACCAATGCAGCCATCAAGTCTAAGAATTGTGAAAGGTGATAACTTGGAGCATTGAGATTAGTCCCGTAACACCCCGGTTCACATATCTGCGTTCCTGCGGTCCGCGTTTGCGCGGGCACGAGAGCCTATTTGAATGGACTCCCTCCCGTGCCCCGAGGGCACACAGGGAAGAAGTCTCTGCACTTCTGAAAACGCAGCCCGCACGAGAACCTCGGTTCCCAGTATGGTTGCGATTTCCAGTGCAGGCGGCATGCCATTAGAATTAATGGCACCTGCCCAGGGGTCTGCATTTTTCTGTGCGTGTGGTGCAGCTGCACGGATTTTTGTAAGGATCTGCAATGGCACCACCTGCACAGATGTGAACCTAGCCTAACTGCTCTCATCCACAGCATCTGAGTCTGCAAAGAAGGTATCGGGCACCCGAGTGTGTAAACCGTCCTGAAGAGAGGCTGGGCTGCCATATAAAGGTTTGTGCTTTATTCGGACATTGCAGAACTGAGTGGCAGCCCTGTGCTTTTTGGATGAAAACTTATTTTGCTTCTTGCTTGTTCATCTACGTTTTTTGATTTATGAGAGCATTTAGTTCCATTAAGGAAACCCATACTAAGAACATATCATTAAAAGACAACAAGTTTAGGGAGTTTTTTTTTGCTTTTTTTTTTTTTTTTTTTTAGAAATCATAATCTAGGTGGAGGCAGCATCTGTCCCCTGTTGGCTCTAAGACTAAGAACTGATTAAGAACCCCCCCAAATTCACTGGAGCACTGGGCTGTCTGTGGAGGAGGTAATATCGGCTGGCTCAAGCTCTCAGCAGATCGCTGAGTCCAGACATCTGGATGAATCCTGACTTTAAAGTAGGGACCTTTACTCAGTCAAAGAGCTTTGGCTCTACTTCTCCTTTAATACTTACTGTACACTTGTTCAATAAATGTATTTACCCCCTCTAATTTAATTCTACACAGGGGGTTTGCTGGTTGCTTCGCAATCAAATAAAATGCGGAATTCTCTATGGAGGTGGAGCGGTGTCCAGTATATTTTTTTTATGCCACTGGTGGGGTTTCAGCCATGGGTTTTACATTCTGGTTGTCAGGGCACTCTGAAGCACACAGCAGAAGAAAGCTACCTGAGGGGGCATACAGCCAGACAAGAACCTACCTGAGGGGGCATAATATTAGGAGGCACTTGAGCACGGAGATTAGGCTGAGATGAGTTGAGTGCTTGTGACGGAGGCTGAGTGCCCCGAGCTTGTGCTGCATTGCCAACACCAAACATATTGGGATTGCCATTCTGCAGGGAGAAAAACAGTGTGAGCTGGCAATAAACTAAACATAGCATCTTTATTAGGTTTTTAGTCTATTGGATCTGCATCCTTTGGATATGCATTGAAAGTCACGATAAGTGTTCACTGCAAGCGCACTTTCAATTGGTATTCCCGACATTAGGAATTCCAGCCATAGGAGGTTAAAATGTCTAACATTTAATGCAGTCACTTTTTTTTTCTGTCTTTACATGTGCAATGAACCACAGTATTGGAATTTTATATATTCAAGGTTTAACCAAAACACAATCAAATTAGACATGCAGATGATTGATGCTCTGTACACATATCTAATAGGCACAGAGCAACCCTGGCAGACTCACCTGTCTCACGGAACTGACATTTGGCATTGCCAGCCCTGTGAAAGAGCCAAGGGATTGAGTAGGTAGTGCACTATTTAGAGGGGAAAGCTTCGTATTCTGATTGGCAAGAAACTGTAGATTTTGTGTCTCTTCTGCTACAATGCCATCCTGAAGAGGGGCGAAGTGGAAAATGAGAGAAGGGCCCGGAGTATGTGGAAACAAGATGTGAGCAGGATCCCGAAGCAAAAGCACAGAGGAAGGCAGCATGGTGACAGTAGGGAGAAAGGCAGAAAAACAGCGCTGGTTAGTGCCATGGGAAAAGCAAGATGTCACACTAAGCAGAGGGGCGAATGCAGTGAGCAGTCATGAATGTTAGAGTCTACTAAAACAAAGCAGCCATACATAAACCAACTGTCTGAATATGCCTGACTAGGATTATGTGCGGAGTTACAAAATGCTCGTTATGGACAGTGGATACAAAAGAATAAAAGAACATGCCCCATATAAAGAAACAGCTCTAGGGTAAGTTGTGGAGGACTTGAACTACTTTTCAAGGAACATGCTCACCTTATCAAAGTAAGGATTGTGATCCATGGAAGACTCTTTGGAAAGGTGTCGAGGACCAGGGCCTTTCCCAATCACCCTGCTGTAATCTCCAACACCAAGGCCTGATTTTTCCATATCCATTCGCTTGTCTGGCAACAGCCCTGTATATACAAACACAATAGTTTACACTTACATGTGCAGGAAAAGGAAAACCAACTATAAACCACTAGAAATGTCAGGGGTATTGACTGTTCGAGATATGTACATTATGACATAAGCAGTGTTCACTTTAACCACTTCCCATTTATAGGACATACCCATCTGTCCTTGGGTGGGAAGGGTAATAGTTCGGTCATCACTGCAGCAATGGTGGAGTTACTATTTAGGGCCAGCGATTCTGCACAGAGTAAAAGTAATCCATGCAACTTTACAGGCAGCGGAAGGTGGTCGTTAAAAATTCATTAAAGTGCATTTTTTCCAACCACTGTGCAAATATCAAGCAACATAAAAATATGCAAAACTCGCTATTTTATTCTCCAAGGCATCTGTCTAAAAAAAACTATATAATGTTTGGGGGTTCTAAGTAGTTGCTGATTTTTACATGTAGGAGAGGAATGTCAGAATTGGCCTGAACTGGAACAGGTTAATTAAAAAGTTGGTCCCCCCAGTTTCTGTATAATCCCAGTAAATGTCAGGACCTCTGCCAACAGATTCAGGGTAAAAATCTATGTCGGGACTGAATAAAACACATCTCTGCAAAACATGCACATCTTCCCATGTTGACTCAAAACTACAAGTACAGAAAAAAAATGCAAATTTTGACTTACCTGTAAGTCCCATATCTTGGAGTACAGTCCAGGACACAGGCAACATATTCATGCACCGTGGGTTATAGGTGCCTACCTCCAAGTGTTTGGATAGGGGAGGTGCCCCAGGGGCTGTGTCCTCAAAAGCAAGCCGGAGTCCAAACTCCTGAAGGCATGTGTCTATAACCCATGGGGTATGAATATGTTGTCTGTGTCTTGTACTGTATGATTAAGATAATACCTGTTGATCAGCCCAGTCCTCTGCTACTAGGCTATAAAATGCCTTCTCTTTTCCTCATTTCCATAACAGAGGAGATATTTTGCAGTCATGGGGATGTCACAAGTTAGCCTGCAGTTTCTTGTTTGTGTTCTTACCTTTTTGCTACAGTCATGTTCCCGATCACTTCTCATGTGTTTGTGCTCATCTATGGGCGTCGTCTGCTGTCCTCTGGGTTTTATTTCCTTCCCTTTCATCACTTCCTGGCCTGCCTCCTTGTTTGCCTGTCTATAAAGACGTGGTCAGACTAGGCCACTTTGCCTGAGCAACTTCCTAGTTGGAGCGGCCGTGTATTACTACAGTCTGAATCCTATATTGTCTACTTATGTACCGACCCCGGCTTCGCTCTCTGACCTTGCTTGTTTTCCACCTGTCCTGACCTCGGCTTGCCTATTGGATTCCATTTGTCTTCTCCCTTTATACTCTGTTCCTGCGAGCGGTCTCCTCAACCTCAGCTGGGGGCCGTGACCTGGTCTCAGCTTGCTGCAAGTCTATCCCCACCATCAGGGGCTCTGGTGAACAAGCAGGCTAGGGCTTAGACTCCGAACCCTGGGGAACCCCAAGCTGAGGATCCATAAGAGTTCACTACCACAGGTGCTGACAGTTTGCTCAGGCCATGAGCTCCTCGGAGACACCGCAGCCTCTCCTGGAACAACTTCAGTGTTTGGCGCAAAGTCGATGTCCAGCAGGCCTATCAAGAACAAATTATGCACTGTCTGCAGGAACTCTCCTCCTGGTTGGATCAGCTACAGGTTGTGTCCACTTCCTCACCCTCTGTTTCGGCTCCGGTCCCTGCTGCTCCCACCTTTCGCTGTTCCCCCAGTGGAACACCGTCCTTCAAGACTCCAGCTGCCTCCACCGCCTCACTTCTCTGGTGATCCCAAAGCTTGTCGGGGCTTCATCAATCAGTGCTCTATTCATTTTGAGCTAGCAGACGATCATTTCCCTACTGAGCGTTCCAAGGTGGCATACATGATTTCCCACCTTTCGGGTGAAGCACTGGCTTGGGCCTCGCCACTGTAGGTGAGTCAAGATCCCACTATCTCCAGTCTCCCAGCCTTCCAGCAAGCTTTCCAGAAAACCTTTGATGTGCCCGGCAGGACTTCATCTGCTGCGGGAGCCCTTCTTCGGCTACGCCAAGGTAGTATGACGGTTGGTCAGTATGCAGTTCATTTTTGCACCTTAGCTTCGGAACTTGCACGGAATAATGAGGCCCTTTCTGCAACCTTTTGGCAAGGTCTAGCGGACCGTATTAAGGACGAATTAGCTGGTAGAACCATAACCACTGCCCTGGATGACTTGATTGCCCTTAGCATCCAAAACGATGTCTGCTTCCAGGAGCGAGATCTGGAAATGTCTGGTCCACATCACCCCCAATGGGTTCGTTAGCTCCTGTTTTCCAAAAATCCCCTGAACGATCTACCTCTGTAACTGTGCAGACATCCAAGGAACCTATGCAGTTAGGCTGAACACGCCTCACTCCACAAGAGCGATTGCGTCGCCTAAGACTTGGTCTATTCCTTTACTGCGGGGCTAAGGGTCATGTAATTAAGTCTTGTTCAGTCAGTCTGGGAAACTCTTGGGTCTTGGTCACATTGGAGGTGATCTAGACCAGAACCTGAACTCCGCCACCTTCCCTCGAGTTGTTATACCTGTCTCCATCCATTGGGCTCTGAACTGATATCAGGTTTCGGCTTATGTGGACTCTGGGGTAGCCAGAAATTTCATCGAACAATCATTGGCCGCTAAATTGGGCATTCCTCTTGTCCCCTTGACACCCCAATCAGTTTCTGCAGTTGATGACTCTACCTTGGCCTTAGGACCTAACAGCATAACTATGCATGTGGGTGTTCTTCATCATGAGGAAATCTCCTTCCTGATCCTTCCTAAGTCCTCAAGTCCCATCATTCTTGGACTTCCATGGTTGCAGAAACATTCACGCTATCTTGACTGGAACTCTGGCCAAGTATTGTCTCCCTAAAGTGTGTCTACCTCAGTGTGTACCCGTGGCTGAGGTCATCACCTCTCCGATACTCCTTCCGCATTATCAGGCCTTCCAAGACATCTTTTGTAAGAAAGCTGTTGACCGTTTGCCTCCTCTTCATCCCTATGATTGTGCTATCCAGGAGAATCTGCAGACAGGATTTATCCATAAGTCCAATTCTCCTGCTGGGGCTGGCTTCTTCTTTGTGGAGAAAAAAAATGGTACGCTCCGCCCCTGCATTGATTATAGAGGTCTCAATGCTATCACCGTTAAGAATCGGTACACTTTACGTCAAATTTCTGAACTCTTTGACAGACTCCGAGATGCTCGAATTTACACTAAGCTAGACCTCCGTGGAGCATACAATCTGGTTAGGATCCGTGAGGGTGATGAGTGGAAAACAGCTTTCAATACCAGAGACGGGCATTATGAATATCTTGTAATGCCCCAGCCGTCTTTCAGAACTTTGTTAATGACATTTTTTCTAATCTCCTGTATGTTTGTGTCATTGTCTATCTGGATGACATACTAATTTTTTCTCCAGATTTAAAAATTCATCGTCAGCACGTATGTACTGTTCTCCAAAGTCTTCGGGACCACTGCCTGTATGCAAAGTTTGAGAAGTGTCTCTTCAAACAAACCCAGGTTCCTTTTCTAGGCTACATAGTCAAGGATAAAGGGCTGCTTATGGATCCTCAACCTCAATTGGGCGTACCTGGGGGCCGCGACCTGGTCCCAGCTTGCTGCAAGTCCATCCCCACCATCAGGGGCTCTTGTGAACAAGCAGGCTGGCGCTTAGACTCCGCGCCCTGGGGATCCCCAATTTGAGGATCAAAAAGAGCTCACTACCACAGGTGCTGACAGGGGAAAATTGGGCAGGGCTGATTTGAGATTTCAGTGCAGCAGAGGTACCAAGTAGGCAGCTCAAATAAGATCATAGAACCTCACTGCAATTCTGGCAGATCAACAGATATTTTTCTGTACTTGCAGCATTTTTAGAAAGAGAAAACATAGTCAAATACGTATATACTGCATACGTGTACTAATTTTTTTTTTAACTTCGCCCAGACACACACTTTACACTGTAATGCCATGGCTCTTCAAACAGCAGGAGCATGAGCTTTACTGATTAGAAAGCTGCGAGTCTGACTCAGCAGAAAGTTTGTCAGACCGCCGTATGGAGCGTAGAGGTGTTTGTGTGCTGCCTGTGCCACAGACTTCTGTATTAAGTCCATCACTTAGCATTTGATTGCACACCAAGTTTAACTATACAGTTTCAGTGGAAACTGGGCTTTAAATTGCTTAAACTTCAACAACGATTTAACCACAACTACAAGTCATGCTGTGCAATTAGCTCTTGAACATGAAAAACCATACTGTCAACCAAGCACTTCCTAACCTCATATGTCAACATTGGTGAAAGTTATGCAATAGCATTTAGAAGTATAACTAAATGCAGCCCATAAGGATTTCCCTCACATGTGACAATTACTAGAAATAAATAGATCCAATCTAACTTTTTCCAGATTTTTTTTGGATATATTTTTCTGTGTACACTGACCAGACAGTAAAAGACTGAGCAGTCAAAGTCCATGTCAGCATCTTTTGTTAGACAAACTCTTGTTCTGAGTTCCAAGTTTTCAGTATGTTAGTTCCATTAAAGCAAACTGACTTTTCATACATACCTCCAGAAAGATCCATTTTATTGCTTTGTGAGGGGTCGTCAGGTGACTCTCTCTGTAAAGAGGTGGAACAAAAGTTAGAAGAAAGCAATTTCACACTAAAAAAGAAAACTAAAACCTCTCCATCTAAACTTACTGAAAATCCTAAGTTGTTGAACTGTTTTACAAATGGATTCATCCAGTTCTCATCCTGTTTGTTTCCATTTTTCATCATTCCCTGTGGGTGAAAAAAAGAAATCACTCAAACACAAACTAATGGAAATTAGAGGATAGTAAAATAAAGCTGGCCAAATAAGTTTTTTTTTCCCCTTTATTTAAAGTAGTTGTAAAAGCTCAAGGTATTTTTCCCTTCATGCATTCTATGCATGAAGGTTAAAAAAAAAAAAAAAACCTTCTGTATGCAGCAACCCACCCTAATACTCACCTAACCTCCCTCTCAATCCAGTGATGTACACTGGAGTCTTGGTTATCCTGGGACTCCCTCTTCTCATTGGCAGTGACAGAAGTGAGCCATTTGCTCCTACTGCTATCAATCCCAGCCAGTAAACCAATGACAAGAGAGGGGAAGGGGCCGAGCAGCAGCTCCATGTGTGAATAGACACACGGTGCAGCGGGCTGCTTGCTGTGGGGGCACCTGACAGGAGGGGCCAGGAGAGTCTGTGGAGGGACCCCGAGAACAGGAGGATCCAGGCTACTCTGTGCAAAACCACTGCACACAGCAGGTAAGTATAGACATGTTTGTTATTTTTTCTTCGAAAAACAAGCCTTTAGAATCAGCCAGCAGGCTAAACTAAAGAAAATAAACAGATTTTTTCATCCACGCATACAAAGTCAAGGCAGAAATTCCCCCACTGGGATATTGCCTATGGAAATCAGCTCCTGCTGCTGTCAGAATATACTGCTCACCGGCTGCAGCTGCTGATCAAAAAAAAATTTTCAACTTGTCCCTTTAATAAAGGTCATACAAACTGTTTACTGACTTCAGCTGAGCAAGAAGGCCACACACTGATCAAAATTTGGTCACACGGACTCCTGCTGATCTGGCCCAATTTCGATCTGTGCATGGCCAGCTAAGCATAGGCAAAAGTGCCATTGCAGAAGTCTAACTGCCCACAGAAAAAAACAATAGATGGTCAAGAGCAGATTAAATTAAATACACATGCAAGAATGCAGTTCATACTTGAGTGTGTATATTTTAAAATCAAGTGTAGCAATGGGTTAAACTTACCTTCAGGTAAAAAAAAAAATGCAAAAATTAATACAGTTCTGTATTCATGAATACATCTCTAAATGTATTTGTTTTTACAAATGTAAACAGATTAGGAATCTGAATTTGATTTCATATAATTTTCTTGCAATCCTCTTTACAGCAGAGCTTAAATTGGGAGAGCAGCAGCACAAGATATTTGTGATAGAGGAATGACCTTGTCAACTGCTTCTCCCTTCACTGCCCAGCCACAGGCTGGAGGAGTGTCAGGACCTGTAAGTGTTACTTAAATCTCAGAACTGCATGGACATATACAGATCCTTTTGCAGGTAAAACAGCCCCAATACATGTATTTCATCTGTTCATTTTTGTTTGCCTGGAGTTCAACTTTAATCAGGTATCTCACAAGAATGGAAGCTACTATATTGCCCCCATTCTCATTGTACTTAGCCATTTCAGCAGTGTCAATCCTAAGTGTACAGTAAAAAAATATTACATTAAAGTTGCTGTCTATGAAATAAACTCAGCAAACATTGAAATGTCTGATGTGGGATTACGTTACACTACTGGTTACCAGAAATCATATAGACCAAATATATATATATATATATATATATATATATATATATATAAAAAACACAATCTGATTTTATTACAAAATTTACTTAAAAAAAAAAAAAACCCATAAATGGTACACACATTAATAGATAAGAGAATAATAAAAAAAAAAAAAAAAAAGAGCAAAATACATATATTGCAGGTTTTTCCCGCTTCTTCAGTATCGAAAAGGAGCTTATATAGTATAACAGATTGTGCAGAATAGTAGAATGATCTCCCTATAAGAATACGTTCAGAGGTGTATTTTACCTAGAAACTTAAAAAAATCATCACAGTGGTGCTTGAAGACTGTGCCTGCTGGCCCACTGATGAGACATCCAGACACAAATCACTTGTGGTGTGCCCCCAGGAAATGCACGATGCAGCTATAGTGAGTGGATTTCTGATTATCTTTGAGTTTGGTAAACCAGGATGGCAATCTGTCTTCCTATCTGATGTTTGAATGAGAGTAACCGACTGAGATGGCCGAGCGGCTCTGTATGATCTGTGTGAGTGCTCTGAGGAGTCTTCCTTTTACTCCACTTAGTTTTAGATTCCCATCCTGGTTTACCAAACTCAGAGATGATCAGGGCTTCACTATCTGCAGCATGCATTTCCTTGAGGCACACTATGAATGATTTGTGTCTGGACCTCTCTCCCATGAGCCGGCAGGCATAGTTTTCAAGCAACACTGTGAAGATTTGTGAAGTTTCTAGATAAAAATACACACACCCCTGAACATAGTCTTTTATAGTGATATTCTACTATTCTGCACAACCCATTAAATGTTATAATCTCCTTGTCCATTGCGAAGAAGCAGGTAAAACCCACAAACGTCTTGACCCATTTCAAGGACATGTATTTTGCCTTTTCTTTTGTAAATTCTAGTGTGGACCATTTTTTTTTTAGTAAATTTGTAATAAAACCGTTTTATATATATTGGTCTCTTTATGATTCGTGGGAACCAGTAGTATAACTTAAAGTCCCATATCAGAGGTGTTCAATGGTTGCTGTATACTCTGGTTATACCACAAGTGATTTTTGGCAATACACCATACCCCACCATATATACCCAATTGCTCACTATTAAATAAAATGAGATATGTTGAAATAAAAAGAATACAGATAGTACCCAGTCAGAGAAGCCCAATCTACTTGCTGCAACTCTATGACATCAGATTACAATGTATCAGGCTCCACAGCAAATAGTGTATACATAGAGAAAAGTTTAGCATATGAAGGTCTATGTGCAGGGCAAGGGTAGAGAGATGGCAGTGAACTGTATGATGTATAGGGGAATGCAAGCAAAATACATACCCATAGGAGCAAAAAATCCAAGGTCTAAATTTAATTTTGAAAACTGAATTGACAAATTGTATCTTTGAGAATTTTAGAACAGTACAAAGTGGAGCTAACCTTTGAAGGCATTTTCTTCATATATGGCGGCCAGTTCATAGACTGACTGTTGTCCTGTGTTGAATTGCTGTTCCACATTCCTATCTCTACATCATCATCATCCCAACCAGAGGAGCGGCCTCCAGTCCCGGTAATTTCATCTCCACACCAGCCACCGTCTTGCATAGATTTGGGACCTGTAAAGTAAACAAGGAATTGGATTTGTAATATATAGTTTTTTTTTTTTGTAAGCAAAGGTGAGAACAACCACTCACTGTTAGGCCCCATTTACACGTACATTTAGGGACGGATTTCGACTTCCTGTGAGAAGTTTAGCAAGGTTTCCGCAAACAGGTGGGGGTGGGAAGCCCCACACAAAGCAATGAGAGGTGGACAGCGCCTGCAGCAACCATTCGCCTGTAATCTGACATGCAGCGATTACCCTGTGGATGACTGGTACTGGAGGCAAACAGTTTGAGTTCAGGGCTGATTATCTACAAGTAATCACTGAGTGTCAGCTGTATGCACCATCAGTCTCTCACTGCTTTGTATGGGGTTTCACGCCTGCCGCAGGAAACCAAATTCTGCCATTAAAGGCATGTGTGAATGAGGCCTTTATGAAAATTAATTTTCACTATAACTCATACCGGGTTTGCCTGGAGCCTGCTGGCCAATAGGAGTTTGGCTCCAACCAGATGCCACCTCTGTATTTTGGTCCCCCCATCCACCACCAGTTTCCATAGGTTTACCCCATGCAGAAGTACCATTATCTACTGCTGGCGTTGGAGTCTCTGGCCAAGACTCACCCCATCCTACAACAAAGAAAATAAAACTATTGAATGTATGAACAAGCACAATACTCGCTCAAAAGCGGATTCTTTATATAAAACTGAAAAGTAATTTTGGATGGACTCTTACATCTAAAATCAATTATAAAATCCAAATTGCATAAGTAAAATAAGATTTTAGAGCCATTCCAAACTCAATTTTCAGATATACAAAGAAATCCTAAAATTGGTTCAACGAAGCTGTGTAAAGCAAGAGAAATTAAAAACCAAAAAACAACTACATATATTTATGTGAAAACCAAACAGGCTCAAACCTAAATTCAAGAGATTTAACACTGTATATACAAAATGCAACCATTTAATGTTTAACACCTTTACACAGAGTATATAAACAGTACAAGGAACCGCTTTTAGGTACCTGCTTATACCTTGTAATAATCTTACCAAGTGCCTTTGGCGCCCTGAACCTTGGGCTACACAAAAAGTCTTCTGCAGAGTATGAATAGGACTGACTGTCATTTGCCCCCTCATTATTGGTCAATATCATGCTTTCAGACCAACAGTGGGACCTGCTTGTCAAAAGAATGCAGGCTAGCCTTTCACTTTCTCAGCAAAAGTTGATATGTACATATTTAAGTATTCTAAGGTTTCTGGATTCTCCAGAATATCCTACAGCAAGACATGAACAGGTTTTGAAAATGTCTTCTCTTCATGTTTACTGCCACTTTACTTAATTTTTACTTTACAGCGAATCTGTGCTTTGTCCACAGAGGGCATAACAAAAGGTTAATTTCATTTCCTACTGCTAGGAGCATAAGGAAAGCCCTGTGTAAGAGCCCTTGGAGTTGTAGAATACACAGGGCTAGGGAGTCCATGTGTGATGTTTGGTGCTGTGAGGGAAAGGGACTGCTCTCCATATGGAGACTGGTCATCGCCTTGTGTACAGTCAAGGATCCAATACACTTCTTAAGAACTGACTTGAAGTCTTGGCTTTGGGGATGCCAAGAAATGCCAGAGAGACCCTCAACATGTTTAAGTGACAACTACTACTGGAAAAGGATTGGGTAGAATAACCCATAAAAATATTTAACAAAAAAACAGGATACAAGTCATTGCCACTTTAATATTGCTGCACTTCAGATTAAAGCTAAAAATAGTGGAAAAATAGCCTGCTAGGCAGGGATTACATTACAGACATTTTTAGGCATGACTTAAGATTGACATGTGTGAAAGGCTTCATTACAAAGATCCGAAACACTTACCAGAGCTGTTACTGTTGCTCTCTTTGTTTGGCACGGCACTTGGTGTTGGAGGCAGATGATGCACTTGAGTTTGGTGTTCTGCCCCGCTTGTTGCGGCATTGGAGGTGTTTTTATCCCACATGTTCACATTCTTGTATTTGTAATGGTTGGGATCACCCCAGGCTGCAGTTCCATCATCTATTTCCATTTTGCGTCGGATAGACTCCGGAGAGGGCTCTTCCCAACCTGTTGGCTCTTCTTCCCTTGTTGGAGTTGACATTGGTCCACCTAACCATCCAGAAGGTTTGTTGGTAGCAGGCTGTGCTACCCACGACCCAGTCTCTTGCTTTTTACCCCCATTCTGATGAGTTATTTGATTGAAGGTTTTCACTCTCCATTTCAGCTGGACCACATTTGGAAGAGTCTCCTCCTCCTTGGCTGGACTTGGCTGGCTCTGTCCATCCTTGGTTAGCATTGGCTTTAGACGGCTCATTCCAGCCTGATGAGTTGTTTGCATTCCCGCTACTCCAGGAGGTGGATCTTGTATCTCCTCCCCATCCAGACCCAGATTTGTCACCATCACTGCCAGGACCTGACTTGGCTACTCCCCAATGATTACTTTTGGAATTGTCCCCCCAACCATCGCTACGGTGTCCCTCCCACCCTTGTTTGACCTTTTGTGCATCATTCCAAGTAGACTTGTCCTCTTTACCATTACCCCATGATTGATTGCTCTTGACTGTTCCAGTAGTAGCAGCAAATTGATCCCCCCATTCCCCTTGGCTTACTGAGCCTTTGGCATCACCCCACCCTGTAGCAGGCTTTGGATCTCCCCACCCAGATACTGATGAGGTATCATTGCTATTAGGGTTGGGCTTCTCCACCCATCCCCCTGAGTTAGAAGTCTTTGACACAGAGGCCCCCCAAGCTTCTGTTCCATTGTCAGTCTTTCTGTCGCTCCGTGGCGAAGCAGCTTCAATGTCCCAGGCAGTGTTCTGTTTAATTGGAGTCTGTCCCCCAGCCAGAGTTGCACAAAACCCGAGGATCAAGATCACCTTTATTTACAATACTTTGGAGTAATGCGTGTTGGTCCATCTTCCTCTTGTCCACAGGCTGCTGCCCATCGACCTGCTCACTCTGGCTTCCAGTGCTGTCTACGCTACCTTCACTTTCCCCCGTACCTGTACTTTTGGCCCATACATTGCTCGTCTCATTGACCCTTAACCCTGTTGAATTTTGCCCCGTGTTCTCTTCCTCGGCAGGTTTCCAGGTGTTTGATGCCTTTCTGCCATTTTCTGCATTCACACCGTCATTGGAATGCTGATTATTAGGTTTGTTCCAATCTACATTTGAAATATTAGTGCCAGTGTTTTGTGCTGGGTTTCCCCATCCTCTGTGATTTCCGCCAGTCCCTCCATTTCCACTTCCCCAATGCATATTTTGGGAGTTTACAGTCCCAGACTCCCATAATCCTCCTTTATTCCCATTGATTTTAAAGTTTGGGCCGTTGGGCCCCGTTGTCATACCCGGCTGCATTAAAGTCGCATTCACAGTGTCGCCATTAGCTTGCCCTTTAGGGACTGAACTTTTATCTCCGGAGTAATTTGAGCCGGAGGTACCCCATGTAGTACCGTATGATCCGCCATTTGTTTCCTCACCATTGCTAAGGTGAGGAATGGAAGTGCCATTTGTAACTGAGGGGGTGTGAAGTGGAGAGTGATTCATGTTGCTCGCACTCCAGGCCCCATGCCCTGTAGAGTTAGGCAGTTCATTTTTCTGCATTAAACCAGCAGAGTTTGGTAAACTAGAGGTCATAAAGTTAGTAGTGTTATTTGGTCCAGTCATTTCAGTGTTAAGGTTTTGAGGTTGTCCACTATAAGAAGCCTTCCTTGTACCACTGAGTTCAGAATCTCCATTCTCTTGAATGCCTCCCCAGGAGCTCGGGGCAGAGTTGCCCGTTTTAGGGTTAATACTCCGATTATTAGACACCTGACCTATAGTACTACTTGGAACATTTGTGCCAGAATTATTAGACCCTTTAAGGGTATGTCCATTGCTGTCCAAAACAGGCCAGGCACCGTGGTTGCCGTTCATGTTCAAAGTGCTTGGATTTAGTACTCCATTAGAAGTAACGACGGTGCCCCAAACATTAATCCGGTTGTGCCTACTGTCTGAATTGCTTTCGGGGCCATCCTGACATGTGCTTTTCATGGATCCACGAGTGACACCCCATGGGCCATTAATACTTCCACTGCCTGCATTATTGCTGTTAACCAAAAGTTTGCTTTGAGAACCATGCCCAAGGCCATTCCTTATGGTATCCATTTCCCCTACGTTGTCTCCAAATGGCACAACTTGGCCCTTTTCCAGCCCAGAGTTTGGGGTAGAGTCAATATCCATACATTCTGATGCCAATTCCGAGCCGTTTCCTGTGATTGATGGCCACGCCTCTTTATCTGTGCCGTCTACAATGACTTTTTCCCAGTTTGTGCCTGATTCACCGTTGGAGGAGACTGATCCCCCAGTGTGAACTTTCATAGTGAGATCCTAGACTGCCATGATTGAGATCTGGGGAAAGCAAGAAAGGCAAAAGTCAAATCAGATAAAGTTTAGAATAAAACACAAAAAACCCCAAAAAACATTCCACAAACTTTGTGGCACAGGTGATATCCAGTTCATCCAAAATTATTTTTGAGTGGATGTTAGTCTGATTTACCCACTTCCATCTGTATCTCTTGGCATAGTCCACAGAAGTATCTCCACAGGAGTTTCTAGTGAAATCAAGATCAACTTCTCATGGTTGCATAAGGTGAGCAGACTCAAGAAGTCAGATGCAGAAAAATATTTAATCGAGTGCTGGGCAAGATACAAAAGGCAAATGGATGATTCAGCTGTATGAAAATCTACCTTAAACTGAAGTTTTTGGTTGGAATTTACCTTTTACCTTGTAATTTCCAAAGTGAAGGGTAAAACAGACAATGTTTTAACCATACCCCGTGCATCAACTATTGTCACTGCACAATCTCTCTTTATTTAATCTTGATTCTGTGTAACAGTAACATTGCCTTTTTTTTTTTTTTTTTAGTATAAATGATCTTAGTAATGTCAGATAATGTTGTATAGACCCTTTTATACAAGGGTTCTTCAAAAAGTTGTTTTATTATATGGATAAAAGTGCAGAAACTTTTTACGTAAATACAAAGTTTGAAATGAACATGGGGCAACCATATTTGTTTATATGCAGGTTCTGTTTCCTCCTGTGCAGTGATTTTCAATGGCTGCACCTCACTGTTGATCTTTGTGCAAATCTATGGGTCTAGATTTACAAATAAACACAATGCACTACTTATGTGGCCAATATCTTACTAGGCAAAGTGAGTAGCTGCAGCAACAAACAGATCCCCTAGTTAAAAAGGCTTTCAAGCGACATAAGATAATGAGCAAATGTTGTGGTCTATGATCCAATTCCTATGAGATCCCTGTATGACCACTCAGAAAAGTTGCTCGGGTTGGTTGATAAACTGGCCCCAATTGTAACGGCTACTGATAAGAACAGTCCTGTCAGGGAAGAGGACCCACTTTTGCTCTGCTGCAGTTAAACACTAAAGCTAGCCATATATTAATTTTTTTTTTTTTCAACCAACTTTGGCGCGGATGGGGGAAAATCACTCCTGCTGTGCTAATGTGCTTTGACCAGTGTTTCCGGCTATAGAGTTCGGGGAAAAGCCATCAAGCTGCATTCACAAAAGTCCTTCAGTAGATCGACTTCTGTACAACCAGTCTGCTCATATGTAGATCAGATGTATGGCTGCCTTTACAGTCACCAAAGGACATTTGCTGTCTCTTGTGTAAACCATTAAAGCAGTTCGTACTTTTCGGTCTCGCACTCCTTTGGTGATTTTGTGTTTTAAATCTACAAGTAAAACTGACTGGGCACCAGTGGGCTCACTCAGTCACTAGCTTCTTAACTATCTCAAAAGTTATAACAGCTAAATTTTTCTAGTTTCGATCACTGCCTCTTTTGCAATGTGCTCAGTGCACTTGCAGTTGTATTCCTCAACAGTTTTTATTTTGCATTTTGAGAATCCATTATAGGAGGAATGCCACATCTGCATTTTGGTTTATTGGCCTATAATTAGAGCTGGAACAACTCTGTTAGGGAAACCTGCCAATGCACTCCACCAGAGACCAAAGGAACCAGCACATAATCCAACTTACCAGAAACCAAGAAAAACAAAAATACCAGCTTCAGGTGGTGCTGACTTTTAAAATGCAATCCATGCACCAGGTTAGTAGCAATCTCATATGATGCGCACAAGTACACAGAAATTAGCATTTAGAAGACACGGAAGCACAGCAGGATTGCAAAACACTTAAAAGGATTTCATCAGACACAGTTGCCATGGGAAAAACAAAAAACGTACATAAAAATGGAAAGATGAGAGTTGTCTAGAAGCAGAAAGTTAAAAATTACAATTTACACAACATATGAAATAATGTGTTTAAACAGACAAGAAACCATGCAACAAAAACACTGGACTAAAACAGAACTGTGGGTTTTTTTTTCCCTCAAGAAATTCTAATACAGTGTGTCAAGTTAGCACCCAGCAACAAACTGAGATCCAGAAACCCAAGCCATGGCTGTGAATGAAGTGATAGTGGGGTTAACTTCCTATTTAGGTTCTCTAAATCCAGAGAAGAGAGGACATGGGGGAAGGAGGGAGGGAGGGAGGGAGAGAGGGTGGAGAGCAGAGTTAGGATTTAATTTCGCTAGAACAATCCTGAAGTCTAAAACCTTTAAAAAAACAGCCAAACAGCTCCTAGCAACAGATCTTAAACTTCAGTCACCAGCTATTCATGTAAGAAAACAGATTCCAGCAGCACTAAATCATTGAGTAAAAATAAACCCATATTGTAAACAGCAGTGACGCAGGTCTAAGTGGACCACAGCTGAGGAGAAAGACGTGGAACTTAAGTAGAAAGGCATAATCCAGAACTCATGCTTTCCCATTCAGTGACTTAAATGCAAACTATGGTGTCCGTTTATGACACAGAGAATAGCTGCGATTCAGAGGATCGCAGCTATTCTCTGGTCATTCACAGTTTATGACACTCAGGAGATCAGCGGAGAACATGTTCAGCCCTTCACTGGCGATCTGTGTTCTCCCTCCAGATTCTCCAGTCCAGAGCTGGAGAATCGGAGGAACCGCAAACTAAGCAGCGATAATTTATCTCTTCTTAGTAAACTGATCTTTTACTGTAATCTCACGAGAATATAGTAAAAGCAGCCGTTTTCCAGCGTTTGTAGACCGTTCTCCCTTCGTTCGGAGAAACTGATCTACACCGCTTCATAAAAGGCATTCACAAGAGAACTGTGTTCTCCGAGAATTACGGAGAACTGAGCAGCGATCATTTACCTCTGGTTCATAAACGGACACCAAAGATGGAAATTTTAAGCAAATGTCAAGTGCAGTTTTTCTTCCCCTAGGTGAAAGGCTTGAGGAAGAGTAACAGACCATCTGAAAGATACTGCACTAAAAAGATAGGTCTAATGGGTCAGTCCACCCAACACAGATATGTTCATGTTAGATGCTGGCTAAGGGAATCATCCACCATCTTCTAGTGATATATTGGGGACTACAAGAGAACACTTTCACCTTATGTAGTTTTAAACTCAAAGTTTACTCTTCTTGCTGTAATAGGAGGGCTTAAAGTGAAAATGAAGGCAATTTAGATACACTGCCCAAATTAGTTCATATAGCAGCAGGTTCCCTTCACCTAGCCACCATTGCCGAAGATCCTCAAACACATTTTATTTTCCCTCCTCCATCCCCTTTCCTCTCGGTGCCCATCTCTTTTCCCCCCATTTTTTCCCTCCCCCCTTTTCTGTCTACTACCACTGGGCTTGCTAAAAGGTCAATGGAGGTTGGCATTATCTATATGGAGATGAGGAGGTTGATTCCCGAATATTCCCCATACTCATTGTTTGAATACAAGGGGAATAACTCAGCAGACATTTTCTTCTCTAGGCTTAAGTCAACACTTTATTGTTGGTACTGGTAAAAGTTTACGTAAGGATGTTCTTCACGGGAACACTCTTAGGAACATTGTCTCACATATTGTTCTAACCTACTATCTGGGACTGACAATTATACAATATTATTCTAGGAAATTAAATTCCTCATGGCTAAAATGTCTAAATAAAGTTTTAAAAAAAAGATAGCATGGGGGGCTGAGAGATGCCCTGAGTTGGATGGCGTTACTAATAAATGGCTGTCAGTTTTCAATGCTGACTGTGGACAATCACAGTGCAAACATGCTGCTATGCATTTAACAAGATACATGGATTATATGGCTGTTTAATGTTCATAAAGTAATTCTAAGATGAATGTCCACTTTAAACAGCTGCTAATATGTTGGGTGTTCACCTGTTTTTATTTGGAACAATGCTGTGTTGTCTGTAAAATGTCCAATGGGAAGACTAAGATTCCCTGCATTAGTCCTAGGTGAGGCAGGTACACCGTCAAGGTGTCAAAATGGCAAAATCAGTGGTTCTATAGCCTAAACCTTTTTTTACCTTAAAGCATTCCTTGCATTAAGATAAAAATTAGGCAGTAGTATCCCCCCTTAAACTTATCTGAGTCAGCGCTGTGCACATCTGTAGCTCTTCTCTCCCCTCTCCTCCTGGTGTCTCAGTCTTTGCTAAGGCAACGGAAGCCATCGGCTGTCAATCAAAGCCAGTAACGAGGGGGCAGAGCCGAGTCCTGCTGTCTGTGTCTATTGACACAGACGCTCGGGAGCAAGCCTGCCTAGAAAGCGGCTAAAAGCGGCAAGGCATGCCAGCAGGGGCCCCTAGGAGGATCAGGGCTGCTCTGTGCAATTTCATTGCACAGAGCAGGCAAGTATAAACTTGAAACTAGAAGAATAAAAACTGATGGAAAGCATTTGGCAATTGGGCAGAACTACAGTAGGTTTTGTTCAGACTAAGTGTGCTATGAAGCATTTCATTGCATTTGCCAGAGTAGGCAAAAGCCTGGAAATAGGAAATGTTCACAACACATTCAACTGAGGCACCCTGAAAAGTAATGCATACTTTGTTTCTGGACCTTTCATTGCATTGTAAAGGCAGAGTCTACCATTTGCAAAAACGTAATGAGTGCTCCGACATTTATAAAATGTTCGTATTGAAGGCTGCAGAGCATTGTTGACCTTTGGTTAAGAGACTAGGGGAAGAAGCAGTGGACTATGTATGTGCTGATCTCACAGCACTTGCGTTTCATTGAGATCCAGACGTCTCTCTGCCAGGGTGCAGAAGGGACTTGTAGTCTTTCCATTCACAGATCTGTGACTGGATAACCTGGCTATGTGGACAGAACAATGCACACCTCAGCCAAAACAAAACAGATGTGTGCAAAGATAAACACCCCACAATCCAAGTTAATTACATTACATAATCAATATGGGTGCAACATGAAACATGGTCAAAAAGGCAGACTATTCTTTTACTGATATCATTACCAAATTACTCCAAAATATTTAATTAGCGTGTTAATTTTTTAATTTTCACT